AATGTTTTCTACTGCCTATCACTCAGACACGCACCACTATTGACATGAAAACACACAATAAGAGTTGGAATGATAACCTCTGCATGAACCAGTGTTAGACAGTTTTTTAAATCAATGGGTTTCATTGATTCAAATCGGGGTTGCGTTGTACAAAGTTTCTTAATTCCCACAGCACTACGTTGTCTTGCCCTAGTTGACAGCATAGTTTAGCTAACTAGCTGATTCATCTAGCATACATTAGCGATGATCAGCTGATATAGCCTCCTACCCACCCCAGGAGAGGTTCTAGCAAAGAAGTATCCCCATCAAAGGTCTGTGCACGGCCCTCAGCTGAACCTATTATTTCAGTTATCTTCTCCCGAGCTCTCAGCTCCTTTGCTACTGAAATGTGTCCCCTAATAGTTATTTTTGTAATCTACTGTAGGTTATAAAGATATTTATAATCCCCTTAACCCTCCAACAAAGTAAAACTCTTTATTACTACTTATTCTTTATCACTAATTTGATCAGCTATGATTACAGTCATGTTAGGTAATAACAACAGTAATCTATATGTTTCAACAATTCATATACAGTGGGGTCCAGAATTATTGGATCCCTTGATAAAGATGAGCAAAAAATACTGTATAAAACAAATTATACAAATACTGATTGTATGCTTTTATACTAACACAATTTCTCAGAGAAATAAGTAATAAAACAAGTAATGGATACAAATCTAAAAAAGATAGGGGACAAAATGGATGGATCCCTTGTTTTAAATGCTCCATTACCCTCCATTGCGAGGATGATGACACGTAGCCTTTTTCTAAAATGTTTTATGAGATTTGAGAACACAATTCCTCCATACATAATCTTTCCAGATCCTTGATATCCTTCGTCTGCGCTTATGGAATGCCCTTTACAATTCAAACCACAGGTTTTCAATGGGGTTCAAGTCCGGAGACTGAACTGGCCATTGCAAAATGTTGATTTTCTGGACAATTAACAATTTATTTGTGGATTTTGATTAGTGCTTGGGGTTATTGTCTTGCTGGAAGATTTGTAGTCTATTTTCTATCTTGTAACTTAAATTAGACTAATTCTCATTAACTCATTAATCCTCTTCGCATGCAGGAGCTTCCCACCTGCGCCTGGCGGTGAGTTGTTTCCACAATTCGTATAGATATACAATTAAAATGACCCCCAAACATTACCTTAAACATTAGTAAACATATTGTTGGGGGAAAGTAAACTGTGGTTGCTCTCACATTTCAAAATACTGTATGAGTAGTTCTAAATGGGAAAATGATGCATGCATCTGCATACTTAATTTCTTAGCCCCTTACCACTGTGTGAGCCATGTTGACCTACACACTTTGATTTTGAGAAGTGTAGAGTAGCATTTTACCACAGAGAGACTCTCTGCTGCATGCAACCTTACAGTATGTAGGTCAGTGGAAGAAGCCTCTCTGACATCTCATGTCATTCATTAACTCACTTGACTCTGAAGGTTTTAAATAATATCACTACCATCAAGTATAAAACCCTATTTTATTCTGCATTACACCAGACAATGCACCATTGAGTCATAGAAAGACACTAAAGTTAGATCTTGCAGTGACATAATATTATTGCTAGATATAGACAGATCTTTAACAGAGGGAAGAGGGGAAGAGCGAGATAAAGGGGGAGAGAGATGTGGTATTGATGAATTGCAGCTAGTTATACAGTACACAAGAAATTGTCATGTCAGCAAGTTTACCGAGAGTTGCTTACTTTGTTTAAATAAAATCGATGTAAAAATCTATTTGAACAGTGTCTGTAGTGAAGTTGGATTCCTTCCTTGTTCTCACTGCCCCTCTCATCTATTAAATTCTATTTCTGGACAATTAACAATTTCTTTGTGGATTTTGATTAGTGCTTGGGGTTATTGTCTTGCTGGAAGATTATTGTGGGTGATGAATTTCCACATGAAAGTCCCCTGACTCATTCCACTGCGACAGAAACCCCACCTACTGAGCAGCCACTGAGGTCAGGTTAGATACAGCCTGGTTACAGTACCACAATCCTATAGGTGTCTCCACACCTTTCTTAGAATGACGGGTAAAAGTGAAGCAAATAGAAAAACATGTCATGATTCTGTTTGATAAGTGAAGATGTTGTTGCTGGTTAGTTTCCACTGGAAGCCTGTTGATGTATGACATTCTGAGTGAACCTGCCTTGCGGTTCCCATTTATTTGCAATGGATTGAGTTGGAGTGTCGAGTCTCACTACTCTCTCTCCCTGGACTTAAATTGGTGGACAGAGCTGTCTACCCTACCTGACAATTATTTTGTATAATGGCGGAAACAGCGTCCATAGTAATCTCATGCAATTTTACAACATAAATACATATTTTTCATGTATTTTAATTTGGTTGTATTGCATGTTTTAGTTATAATGCTAGAATCCTTATTTGCTACCTACATTTTGGGACTTATAAATTAATGAAATATATTCATTGATTCCTGAATAATATAGCTTAGCTTGCCTCATGAGCTTAGTTCAACGGTCATACCCCATCAGAACTAAAAAATAAGCTTGTTTTACTCCAGTGTTCGTAAACAGTGTAAATTTAAACAAACACTATATAGCCTCAAAACATGGTTAAAACTATAATTTTGATATAATGGATAGTCAGTCCCTGCATCCATAGTTCTGTCTATGAATTTGAGAGTGACATGAATAATGTGACTGGCATACAAGTGACAGAAAGTCACTGACCATGGGTTGGCTGTGGTTCAGATTCATGCCAACCACAGAGCGGTGCAAACTTAAAGGACAACGTGTTGAACTGAACGGCAGTGGGACACTGACTGCATTGGTGGGAATGTCACAAGCTGCTTGACCCACTAACTCCAAATCTTTGTTTTACTTTATAACAATGTTACAAGGCTCTTCACACACACTTTGACCCTTTACTTTGAAATTCCTGTGGAAAAATTTAAGTTAAGGTTCTTAACCCAGTCAAAAGACCACTCTGTGTATGAGGGCACTGATATTAACGTGTGTGCCCTGCATTTTAACTGAATTTTATGATTGTTTTTATATTAATACAGTTATGTAAAACCCTCATGCTGAGATGTTCCCTCTCAGCATGTCCCCTGCAGAGAAGGGGGCCCTTCCTCTTTTTCCCTTAATTCCTAAAGCACGATGCTGTCTTGCCTCTTCATGTATCAATGCTGCACTCTATACTGCGGGATGCTGAAACAAAAGAAAACTGTGTCTTTATGGCAGAACAACCCATAAAATACATAAAAAGGTCTGCAGATGTGCTTATATAAAATTTGATAGTTTTGCTAGGTGATGGTGATCTCATGCTGATGCTAAGACATTACGTGGTCCCGTGTGGCTCAGTTGGTAGTACCAAAAAATATGAAAACGTGTGCATTCACTACTGCGTCTCCCAAATGACTAAATTGTAAATGAAGAGGCTAACCAGGTCGAAAGGGCAGTAAGGCTGATCTATTCTGGTGGACACTGACGCAAGTCACTACAGTCCACTAAGAGAGAGGATTTTTAGAAGAGGAGTTAGCTAACAAAGAGTATAAAACATCTTTATATAGGGCGTCCCGAGTGGCGCAGCTGTCTTAGGCACTGCATCGCTACAGACCTGGGTTCGATCCCAAGATGTATCACAACCTGACGTGAACGGCAGTCCCATAGGGCACCACACAATTGGCCCAGCGTCATCCGGGTTAGGGGAGGGTTTGGCCGGGGGGGCTTTACTTGGCTCATTGCGCTCTAGTGACTCCTTGTGGCGGGCCGGGCACCTGCAGGCTGACTTTGGTTGTCAGTTGAACAGTGTTTCCTCCGACACATTGCTTCAGGGTTAAGCGGGCGGGTGTTAAGAAGTGCGGTTTGGCGGGTCATGTTTCGAAGGACGCATAACTCGTCTTTCGCCTCCCGAGCCCGTTGGGGAGTTACAGCGATGAGACAAGAGCGAAATTGGTGAGAAAAAGGGGGTAAAATACACATAAAAAAAATATATAATAATAATAATAACAAATATTACACACAAAAATATATATATAAGAGCAGATATATACTGAAGAAAAATATAACTAAAACATGCAACAATTTCAAAGATTTTTCATATGAGGAAATCAGTCAATTTAAATACATTCATTAAGCCCTAATCTATGGATTTCACATGGCTGGGAATACAGATATGTATCTGTTGGTCAGAGATACCTTAAAAATGGGCCTCAGGATTTCGTCCATCGATAAAATGCAATTGTGTTCGTTGTGCGTAGCTTATGCCTGTCCATACCATAACCCCACTGCCACCATGACATCAGCAAACCACTCTCCCACATGACGCAATAAACATAGTCTGCGGTTGTGAGGCCAGTTGGACGTACTGCCAAATTCTCTAAAACGTTGTTGGAGATGGCTTATGGTAGAGAAATGAACATTAAATTCTCTGGCAACAGCTCTGGTGGACATTCCTGCAGTCAGCATGCCAATTGCACGCTCCCTCAAAACTTGAGACATCTGTGGCATTGTGTGACAAAACTGCACATTTTAGAGTGGCCTTTTATTGTCCCCAACACAAGATGCACCTGTGTAAGGATCATGCTGTTTAATCAGCTTTTTGATATGCCACACCTGTCAGGTGGGTGGATTATCTTGGCAAAGTGGAAATGCTCAATTACAGGTACGTAAACAAATTTGTGCACACGATTTGAGAGAAATAAGCTTTTTGTGCGTATGGAACATTTCTGGGATAATTTATTTCAGCTCATGAAACCAAGTGGACCAACCAACACTTTACATGTTGCATTTATAAGGCTCATGCACAAATAGAGCCCTTAGAGGTGCTGGAGCACCTGCCCTCTTTCCCCTTCTATTAAAAAAGTAACATTTAGATTGGTGCCGTTGTTTTAAACGAATTACTTTTTATTTAATTTTTAGTCTATTTTCTATCTTGTAACTTAAATTAGACTAATTCTCATGAACTCATTAATCCTCTTCGCATGCAGGAGCTTCCCACCTGCGCCTGGCGGTGAGTTGTTTCCACAATTCGTATAGATATACAATTAAATGGACCCCCAAACATTACCTCAAACATTGGTAAACATATTGTTGGGGGAAAGTAAACTGTGGTTGCTCTCACATTTCAAAATACTGTGTGGGTAGTTCTAAATGGGAAAATGACGCATACATCTGCCTACTTAATTTCTTAGCCCCTTACCACTGTGTGAGCCATGTTGACCTACATACAGTGATTTTGAGAAGTGTAGAGTAGCATTTTACCACAGAGAGACTCTCTGCTACATGCAACCTTACAGTATGTAGGTCAGTGGAAGAAGCCTCTCTGACATCTCAATGTCATTCATTAACTCACTTGACTCTGAAGGTTCTAAGTAATATCACTACCATCCAGCATAACACCCTCTTTTATTCTGCATTACACCAGACAATGCACCATTGAGTCATAGAAAGACACTAAAGTTAGATCTTGCAGTGACATAATATTATTGCTAGATATAGACAGAACTTTAAGAGAGGGAGGAGGGGAAGAGCGAGATAAAGGGGGAGAGAGATGTGGTATTGATGAATTGCAGCTAGTTATACAGTATACAGTACACAAGCAATTGTCATGTCAGCAAGTTTACTGAGAGTTGCTGACTTTGTTTGAATAAAATTGATTTAATAATCTATTGAACAGTGTCTGTAGTGCAGTTGGATTCCTTCCTTGTTCTCACTGCCCCTCTCATCTATTAAATTATATTTCAGATAATGACCATATGAAAAACACTTAATAGCATGAGGATAATATGTTGTCCCCATTCTACCCAGGCCTCTTCCCAAAAATGTACAAACTGTACTCGCCACAGTACAATAATAATAATAATAATACATGGAATTTAATGCGCCTTTTGAAAAACCCACAGACACTGTACAGCAAAGAGTATAGAACAAAAACAAGAATAAGACAATAAAATGAATACAAGCTACTTAGACATCCTTTTTCCAGATCAAACCGGTTCAGCAAGCTTTGAGATTTGGTTTGGTCAAAAACACATTTATTAATCTGGTGTGTTCCATAATGCTCTGATGCTATGCACACACACTGGACTCTACCCACACACTCACACATATTTACACTGACACCCCAACACACACACACACACACACACACACACACACACACACACACACACACACACACACACTACATACGCCCACACACAACACACACACACATGCATACTGCCTCCACAAACACACTCATTCACACTTTCACACTCACCACATATGCTGCTGCTACTGTCTATTATCTATCTGTTAACTAGTCACTTTACCCCTACCTATACACTGAGTGTATAAAACATCAAATAACACCTGCTCTTACCATAACATAGACTGACCAGGTGAATCCAGGTGAAAGTTATGATCCCTTGTTGATGTCACTTGTTAAATCCACTTCAATCAGTGTAGATGAAGGGGAGAAGACAGGTTAAAGAAGGATGTTTATGCCTTGAGACAACTGAGACATGGATTGTGTATGTGTGCCATTCAGAGGGTGAATGGGCAAGAACAAATATTTAAGTGCCTTTGAACAGGCTATGGCAGTAAGTGCCAGGTGCACTGGTTTGAGTGTGTCAAGAACTGCAACGCTGCTGGGTTTTTCACACTCAACAGTTTCCCATGCGTATCAAGAATGGTCCAACATGCTATTGTGTGTGTTTTTTCGCGTTATTTGTAACTTATTTTGTACATAATGTTTCTGCCACCGTATCTTATGACCGAAAAGAGCTTCTGGATATCAGGACAGTGATTACTCACCTCGTACTGGACAAAGATTTTTTCTTTAACGAGTCGGGCGCGAAGCATTTACTTCAGACACCCGACAAGGCCCAAATCCCTGTCATTCGCAAGAGAAAGAGACTGAGATATCGGGGACGTAGGTTGGGGTGCCTTGTAAGGATCCGGCGGCGAGTGGATATTCTGCCTCTACCATCAGTCCTATTAGCCAACGTACAATCATTGGATAACAAAATAGACGCGCTACGATCACGAATATCCTACCAACGGGACATTAAAAACTGTAATATCTTATGTTTCACCGAGTCGTGGCTGAATGACGACATGAATAACATACAGCTGGCGGGGTTTACGCTGCATCGGCAAGATAGAACAGCTGCCTCCTGTAAGACAAGGGGTTGTGGTCTGTGTATATTTGTAAACAACAGCTGGTGCACAAAATCTAATATTAAGGAAGTCTCAAGGTTTTACTCTCCTGAGGTAGAGTATCTCATGATAAGCTGTAGACCACACTATTTACCAAGATAGTTTTTTTTCATAGCTGTCTATTTACCACCACAAACCGATGCTAACACTAAGACCGCACTCAATGAGCTGTATAAGGCCATAAGCAAACAGGAAAACGCTCATCCAGAGGCGGCGCTCCTAGTGACCGGGGACTTTAATGCAGGGAAACTCAAATCAGTTTTACCTAATTTCTACCAGCATGTTAAATGTGCAACTAGAGGAAAAAAACTCTAGACCACCTTTACTCCACACACAGAGATGCGTACAAAGCTCTCCCTAGCCCTGTCACGAGAATTTCTATCTCTAATTAATCAAACTTAATGCTTTGAATAATTCCCAGAGGGTGTAAGGCTCTGGTTTAATCATGAATTAAACGAAGGTCCGCAACCAACAAGAATGATCTGTATGTTTTAATCATGGAGAGCTCTCCCGCCAAAAAATACATACACAGCCTTTATACCCCCTGACACACAAAGGCACTTTGCTCCGCCCACCTTTAAACAGCTTCTCAGTCCCCTTCACCCTGGAATGCTTTCTCAGCAGTTTCTAACTCCTCCCCCTCTGTTAGTGGGTTGACACTACATTATAACTCTAACACCGTTCACACATTTATACTGTATTTGGGGTGAAATCCTTTAGTCATTATTCTTAAAATACAAATTAATCTATCAATCCATCCCTTTGACTAAATGTTTTCACATTCAGGATAAATGTGTTTACAAGCATGATTAATCTCAGAGATTACGTCAGAACTAATAAACATTTCATCCAATTGCGGTCTTTCAGGGTCAAAATCCTCGTCATCCACCAAGCCTGGAGGATCGTTTTTCACATTCCCCTGGTCAGAGTCCGGAGTCGGTCCATCTCTCATCATTGTTGAGATGCTGCATTTCACCAACGCCTTACTCACCAATCCTCGTACACAGGGAACAAGACAACAACCACATAATACAAGAATACCCATACAAACACTGACCACCCCTAAGATGGTGGCTGCTATGGTTTTCCATTTACCAAACATTTCATCAAACCACCCTATCCACGATGTACTAACTTCTGAGTTCTCAGCTCATTCTTCACTTAGTGCAGTTAATTCTGCAAGAGCTCTGGTGACTGTCCCATCCGGTGTGGTGTTGTTAGGGATAAAATGTGCAACAATGGCTTATCATTCTATAGACACCGGCCCTTTCTGCCTGATCTAGAGCCAACCTCTTTTACTAAGTAATGAGTTGGATGTCAGATAATTGTTCAGAGATCCCTTTTACTGCATCCCTAGTCTAGCCAATAAATCGTTGTTGGTCGTAATAGATATAATTAATCCAATCCACAATTTTGTTTATTGTCACCCACCAAAAGAACGTGGTAGTAAACCCTTCCCCTAATTCTTTCATAGCTTGTTATCCATCCGATACCCCCCTTGGTATCCCAATCGCATCCATCTAAATAGGGCTATTCTCCTTTTTGTTAAAACTCCTCCCACGTCTGTTTAACCCTTTCCTTGGTTCCTGGTGACTAATTCTAACTAGCTGAATCAGTAGAACCAGGGCGCACGTATCTAGCCACCCTTTTGGTATTCTCTGCCTTATACTGCCTTTACTGGTACACACTCACCACACATCGGTTACAGGGGCTGTAAGGTTCAAAATTCTCTCCTGTGCTTCTGAACTTAAGTCAATCACATTACCACTATCTCCAATTGATAATTGGTGATGTCTTTGTTTCTCTTTACCCCCCAACTGGATGTTCAGTCCCGCCCGGTCTCATATTCCCGTCCCCAAGTGTGTTTAAACACTAGAGTCTAGGAACAATCCGCCGTGGGGGCCGAACATGAATATAATGGGATTTTATAATCCCAAATTGCTTATTGACCTGTACCCCACCCGTTTGCTATGTCCCTAACCTTTATTTTGAATCCTACAGTCTGCCCTTCTCTGATTCCCATTTTGTAGGCCACTCGTCCTTGACGGTCAGTATGTCGGGTCGCTTCTCTTCTCTTTTACTTCTTAACAATGGTAAGGGCATAGCGTAATTGGTGGTGGATCTTGACATATCAAGACCATTGCCGAGACTATGATGCAGCTCAAGTACCCCTATTCCCAAAAACCGCCAACCCTCTCCTGTCCTCAGTCTTTCTGCTTGGTACTACCCCATACTCACACCCTGAGAACACACTACAGTGATGATAGGTCGGGGAAGGAGATCTTCGTTAACAGAGGAGATCCCCAGACCCTTTCGGTCCAGTTCTTATCTCTAACTCTGTGTGTGTCCAGTGGTGCTTGTATGTGTTCTTACCTTTTTGCAGTGGGTAACGTGGACCCAGGTTGCTCTTTCTGCTATTCTAATGGCAAAGGCGGTGACCAATATAATCTGATAGGGCCCTTCCCAACAGGCCTGCTTCCAGTCTTTCTTCTTTAGGGACTGGATCCTCACCAGTCACCTGGTTAGATAGAGTGGGTCACCTTCTCCTTTAGTTCACCTGTAGGGCACAAAACCTCTGACATACCGGTGTGGTTAATAACTACCTTCTCACGTTGTACCCCATTTCTTCCTGTTCTCCTGTGTGTTTTCCTTAACCCCTCTCTAATCATATCGTTCACATCAGTATTGTCTTTCTAGACTGTATCTAAAAAAAATGTTTTTTTTTAAAAAGTATTTTGTCCTCTCCTTCGTATATTATTTAATCCTACCACTAGCCTCTTCCCCCCTCTTGACACATGGTTCTGCTCATGTGTCAATATTACCACCTACGTAAACAATCACTTAGGTAATATTGGTAATTTATCATCCAATTGCCATCCCTTATTTATTTTTGAGACTGTTCCTTGCTTCTATATTGCTCCTCCCACTTCCTTTGTCTTTTATGGCTGTCAGAGTGGTGTGTGTAGATGAGTGGAAGGAATCAAGCGCAGGAACCAGGATGACTTCAACCGTCTTTTTAGTAACGTTCAAACACGTGAACAAAATAGTCGCCAACCCAACCGGGTGGCGCAAAACAATTACGCACAAACACAGTGCGAAATACACAAGAAAAGCGCACGCAGTGCGAACTCTCGGGACAAGCAACAACGAGAGAAATGTAACCATACAGAGGCAGTCTGACAATAAACAATCACGCATAACACCTGACCCAAACAAACGAAACTAAATAGGGAACATCATCAAACACAAACAAGGGACAGGTGTTACAAAGAGACAAAACCAAACGAACAAGAAACATAGAACGGTGGCAGCTAGTACTCCGGAGACGACGACCGCCGAAGCCTGCCCGAACAAGGAAGAGGAGCAGCCTCGGCCGAAACCGTGACAGTACCCCCCCCTTGACGCGCGGCTCCAGCCGTGCGCCGACCCGGGGCTCGGGGACGACCCGGACGACGCGGAGCAGGGCGCGCAGGATGACCCCGATGGAACTCGGTCAGCAGGGACTGGTCCAATATGTCCCTCCTTGGCACCCAGCACCGCTCCTCCGGACCGTACCCCTCCCACTCCACGAGATATTGAAGACCCCCCATCCGGCGTCTCGAATCAAGGATGGACCTCACGGTGTACGCCGGAGCCCCCTCGATGTCCAACGGGGGTGGAGGAGTCTCCTCAATCTCAAAGTCCTGGAGTGGACCAGCTACCACCGGCCTGAGGAGAGACACATGGAACGAGGGGTTAATATTCTTGTAATCAATAGGTAGTTCTAACCTGTAACTCACCTCGTTCAATCTCCTCAGGACTTTAAAGGGCCCCACAAACCGCCGACCCAGCTTCCGGCAGGGCAGGCGGAGGGGCAGGTTTCTGGTTGAGAGCCAGACTCGATCTCCAGGTGCGTACACTGGCCCCTCACTGCGGTGTAGGTCGGCGCTCGTCTTCTGTCGACGTATGGCACGCTGCAGATGGACGTGTGCAGCGTCCCACGTCTCCTCCGAGCGCCGCACCCACTCATCCACAGCGGGGGCCTCGATCTGGCTCTCATGCCATGGTGCCAGAACCGGCTGGTACCCTAATACACACTGAAAAGGGGTTAGTTGGGTGGAGGAGTGGCGAAGAGAGTTCTGTGCCATCTCGGCCCAGGGCACATATCTCGCCCACTCCTCCGGCCGGCCCTGACAGTATGACCTCAGAAACCTACCCACATCCTGGTTCACACGTTCAACCTGCCCATTACTCTCCGGGTGGTAACCCGAGGTAAGGCTTACCGAAACCCCCAACCGTTCCATAAATGCTCTCCACACTCTGGAGGTGAACTGGGGGCCTCGGTCAGACACTATATCCTCGGGTACCCCGTAATGCCGGAAGACATGGGTGAACAGAGCCTCTGCGGTCTGTAGGGCAGTGGGTAGACCCGGCATGGGAAGGAGACGACAGGCCTTCGAGAACCGATCCACAACGACCAGGATGGTAGTATTCCCCTGTGAGGGGGGAAGGTCGGTAACAAAATCCACCGAGAGGTGGGACCAGGGTCGTTGTGGAATAGGCAGGGGTTGTAACTTACCCCTGGGCAAATGTCTGGGCGCCTTACACTGGGCACACACCGAACAGGAGGAGACATAAATCCTCACATCCCTAGCTAACGTTGGCCACCAGTACTTCGTGCTAAGGCAGTGCACTGTCCGGCCGATACCCGGATGGCCAGAGGAGGGGGACGTATGAGCCCAACAAATGAGGCGATCGCGTACCTCGAGCGGAACGTACGTCCGACCCACTGGACACTGTGGAGGACTCGGGTCGGTACGTAACGCCCGCTCGATCTCGCCATCAACCTCCCACACCACCGGTGCAACCAGACAAGACTCTGGTAGTATGGGCGTGGGCTCAACGGACCTCTCCTCCGCGTCATACCGCCGAGACAGAGCATCTGCCTTCCCGTTCTGGGACCCAGGGATGTATGTGATCTTAAACACAAACCGGGCTAGAAACATAGTCCAGCGGGCCTGGCGAGGATTCAGTCTCCTAGCTGCCCGGATGTACTCCAGGTTACGATGGTCAGTTAGAATGAGGAAAGGGTGTTGAGCCCCCTCGAGCCAATGCCGCCACACCTTTAGGGCCTGTACCACGGCTAACAGCTCCCTGTCTCCTACATCATAATTCCGCTCCGCCGGACTGAGCTTCTTTGAATAAAACGCACAGGGACGGAGTTTAGGTGGAGTGCCAGAACGCTGGGAAAGAACGGCCCCTATCCCGGCCTCTGACGCGTCCACCTCTACCTGGAACGGTAAAGAGGGATCCGGATGCGCCAACACCGGCGCCGAGGTAAACAGGTCCTTCAGTCTCCCAAATGCCCTGTCCGCCTCAGCTGACCACCGCAAGCGCACCGGACCCCCCTTTAACAGAGACGTTATGGGAGCTGCCACCTGTCCAAAACCCCGGATAAACCTCCGGTAATAATTCGCAAAACCCAAGAACCGTTGCACCTCCTTCACAGTGGTTGGGGTCTGCCAATTACGCACAGCTGACACCCGGTCTACCTCCATCTTCACCCCTGACGCAGACAACTGGTAACCCAGAAAGGAGACCGACTTCTGAAAAAACAGACATTTCTCTGCCTTGACATATAGGTCATGCTCCAACAGCCTCCTCAATACTCGGCGCACCAGGGCTACATGCTCTGCACGGGTAGGACTGTACACCAGAATGTCGTCGATGTACACAACTACTCCCTGTCCCTGCATGTCCCGGAAAATCTCATCGACGAAGGATTGGAAGACTGAGGGAGCATTCATTAACCCATATGGCATGACTAGATACTCGTAGTGTCCGGAAGTCGTGCTAAACGCTGTCTTCCATTCATCGCCCTCTCTAATGCGCACCAAGTTATATGCGCTCCTGAGATCCAATTTTGTAAAGAACTGCGCACCGTGCAGTGACTCCGTCATAGTCGCAATCAGAGGAAGTGGATAGCTGTACTTCACTGTGATCTGATTGAGACCGCGGTAATCAATACACGGGCGCAGACCTCCATCCTTTTTCTTCACAAAAAAGAAACTCGAGGAAGCGGGTGAAGTGGAGGCCCGTATGTATCCCTGTCTAAGAGACTCAGCGATGTACGTCTCCATTGCCTTTCTCTCCTCTTGAGACAAGGGATACACATGGCTCCGCGGGAGAGCTGCTCCTGACTGGAGATCTATCGCACAATCCCCCCGTCTATGAGGCGGCAGCTGCGCCGCCCTAGTCTTACTAAACGCCAGTTTCAAATCCTCATACTCGGGGGGAATATGCAGTGCTGTCATTAGATTCGGACTTTCCACCGAGGTCGCCCCTATGGAAACACCCAGACACCGCCCCTCACACTGGGCAGACCACCCTTTAAGAGCTTTCTCTCGCCACATAATAGTAGGGTCATGGGTCATCAACCAGGGAAGACCCAGCACTACCGGATACGCAGGAGAGTCAATCAGATAGAGCTGAATTATCTCCTCATGACCCTCCTGCGCCATCATCTGAAGGGGTGCTGTGACCTCCCTAATCAACCCAGACCCTAACGGACGGCTATCTAGGGCATGAACGGGAAAAGGCTTATCAACTGGAAGGAGGGGAATCCCTAACTCTATACAGAACTGGCGATCTACAAAATTCCCAGCTGCGCCTGAATCTACCAGCGCCTTATGCTGGGAACGAGGTGCAACCTGTGGAAAACAAACAGGCAAGGTTAGGTGCACGACAGAAAGCTCTGGGTAAGTAGGGCGCCTACTCACCTGGGGGGACCTCCCAATGCGTGACCTGCCTTCTCCCTCACCGGGGGACCCTCCCCAACACCTAGCCGCGGTGTGCCCTCCACGGCCACAGTTAGTGCAGGGACCGGGCCCCCTCGGGTTCCTACTCCTCCGTTCCCTAGCGCCAGCACCCCCGAGCTCCATAGGGCTCGGCTCGGAGGTGCTGGAGAGTGGAATGGGCGAACCCCCCCCCGGGACGTCCACGGGTGGCGAGCAGGGTATCCAGCCGAATGGCCATGTCGACAAGCTGGTCAAAGGTCAACGAGGTGTCCCTGCACGCCAACTCTCGCTGGACGTCCTCCCGGAGGCTGCAGCGGAAGTGGTCGATATGGGCCCGCTCATTCCACCCTGCATCGGCCGCTAGGGTCCGGAACTCCAATGCAAAGTCCTGGGCGCTCCTCATCCCCTGTCGGAGGTAGAACAGACGCTCCCCCGCCGCCTTCCCCTCTGGTGGATGGTCAAACACAGCACGGAAGCGGCGGGAGAACTCCGCATAGTTAGTGGTAGCGGCGTCCATTCTCCTCCATTCAGCGTTGGCCCACTCCAACGCCTTGCCGGTGAGACAGGAGATGAGGGCTGAGACGCTCTCGTGTCCCGAGGGCGCCGGGTGTACGGTGGCGAGGTAGAGCTCCACTTGCAGCAGGAACCCTTGACACCCGGCAGTGGAGCCGTCGTACGCCCTCGGGAGCGAGAGCCGAATCCCACTGGGTTCCGGAGATGAGGCAGGAGGACTGACCGATGGGGATGGTTCGGTTCGTGGGGGCGTGGGTACCCCGCTGGTTTCCCATCGGTGAAGAGTGTTCATCACCCCCTCCAGGGCATGACAGACCTGGTTAATACGATCCTCCTGTCCACGAAGACGTTCCTCCATCCTGGCTGTTGGCGCGGTCGCTCCTGCTGATTCCATGGATAGATGCGTGATTCTGTCAGAGTGGTGTGTGTAGATGAGTGGAAGGAATCAAGCGCAGGAACCAGGATGACTTCAACCGTCTTTTTAGTAACGTTCAAACACGTGAACAAAATAGTCGCCAACCCAACCGGGTGGCGCAAAACAATTACGCACAAACACAGTGCGAAATACACAAGAAAAGCGCACGCAGTGCGAACTCTCGGGACAAGCAACAACGAGAGAAATGTAACCATACAGAGGCAGTCTGACAATAAACAATCACGCATAACACCTGACCCAAACAAACGAAACTAAATAGGGAACATCATCAAACACAAACAAGGGACAGGTGTTACAAAGAGACAAAACCAAACGAACAAGAAACATAGAACGGTGGCAGCTAGTACTCCGGAGACGACGACCGCCGAAGCCTGCCCGAACAAGGAAGAGGAGCAGCCTCGGCCGAAACCGTGACAATGGCGGCTAAATTGGACTTTCATTCAGTTCAGAATCAATAGTAATCCAATCAATCAATCTCTTATCTTTGTAAAAACACTCATGTTTAGTTCAAACTCTGTTCTACCCCGGCTCTCCCGGGCTTGACCTGAAGACTGATGGTTGGACATGACAGGTCCATACTTAAATCTTTCAAACCTAACACAAACCCCCCTTCATGCTGTAATCAATCAAGAAGATAGCAAAGGAGAGACAGGTTTTAGCCTGAACTCTGCTCAACCCTGGTGCCGCTCCCTTCACAATGTTTGAAGAGAGACAAAAGACAGCCATGGATTGAATTAAGAGCAAGCACTTCGACCCTAGGTCACCTTCTGCCTAGCAACAAAGAATTAAAAAAACTCTATGTTCGTGATTGACCCAGTTATATCTAATAGCCCACAAAAAAAACTCCCTCATCACCATCTCTAAATCACGACCAATGTCATATATCCCTCTTTACTCTCTAAAATCCCTGTTATATGTAGGAAAAGCTAAGACTGTTTGGGAAGTGAGCAACTTTTTTATCTTCATAAATTGTTCTTCCTCCTCAGAGTTCCAAATGATTTTACCATGAGCTGCCATTGCTTTTCCATAGATAAGATCACTTAATTTACCAGTATGCAGTACATAATGGAGTACCCAAGCTCTACAGTATTTCTGCATTTATTCCTTAACTCCTCCTTCTTCATCTATTTCTGGACAGCTAGTCCCCATTTTAAATTATCCTATCCAGCTTCCTATTATTACTATCTTCCTGATCTTATTATTAAATCAATGATCTAGGCAATAGCTGTTTCGCATTAGATTGTGCCTTCCTCTGATTACTGCAGCTCATTGCATTAATTTAGTTTCAAATACCAACTTGTTGTTTATTAAAGCATAATAAAAATGAAATGTAAATGACAACATTTGATAATATCTCAACTTACTTCTATCCCGTAAAAGTAATCCAAGATTAGTACTATTGACTAGCAACAGGTATCCCTCATTCAGGGAAAGCTCTCTCCCTCTTCTGTTATTTTAATGTTTCAAATCCTATTATTACCAAATTATAATCTTCTTCACACTTTTCACAGCACTATAAATTACCCTCAATTTGATAAAATAAACCATCCCAAAGTCCTCCTCTCATGCCCCCAGAACCACCATTGGATTGGATGACCAATCAACACCAGAAAGTCAAAACAGAGCCCAGAGGCCATTGAAATCACCCAACAAACCGTTCCATCCCACAGCATAGTAAAAAGTCCTCATGACATCCACTCCCACAAGAAATCATGCACACTCCAAACTCAGTCAAAAACCGAAAAACTCCATAAAATTCACTGTGTGTTCTCCTTTAAGACCCATCACCTATGAACTGTGTAAAAAACCCTAAATTCAACATAACAACCCTCTTTATAAACATCATACTAGGTGTGTTGTTTTATTTTGAAAAACCCAATTGAAAAACAACAATCAAAGATAGCCAGGCCCCACTTAATTTGGTAGCTCCCTTTTACGACCTAAATACTGCCTAACTTCACTACTGCTCCCCCTAGCCCTTGGCAACATTCCAATGAGATAAGCTAATCTCTTTCTCCTGGTTATACAATTTGTCAACCTTCAATTACCATCAGTAATCTAAAGATGGTAAGTACACACAAAACATGATACAGATATCCCCAGTCCAAACTAATCAATAATCGTTTGTATCAATCTAATTCCTCATAATAATCTCACAATGATTATTGAACCCCTAAATATGCTCCATGTGATCTCATCTCAAATTATCCATTATCAATTATTTTATCAACCCCCTAGGAAAATCTGTCTCCCCTTCTATTGTTCCTTTCGCCCCTGTAAATGTCATATTTCATTCATTAGCCAATACAATCACATACTCCGTGTAAGTAAGACATTATATTTTATCCCAGGCATCCCCTTAACATAATGCTATAGGAGACTTCCATCAATCCTGGAAGACACAATATAATACCACATTTCATTAAGTTCACTACACCTTCTAATATAACCCTATAACCCCTTTCTATTAATTTAATCATTGCAACCTGTTGCATTGATGTTTTTAAAATATAAACCTATTGTTTAATAACTTCATACTTATAACCAATGTTTATTCAATCCATCATCCTAATAGTAAAAACGATATTCCATTGTTCACGTAACGAAACCAAATTATCGTTTTAGAATTCATCAATTATTTTCATACACCACTGGTGTTACCCAACCTATACAATAAAGTAATAACCATTAGACTTTGTCAAATAAATGCTTTTCATTCAACCATTCAACCTTTTGCTCGATACCGTCAAGCAAGTACAACTATTTTACCCGGGAAGTAGAACCATAAATTATTTTCCTTTGTCCTCAACTTAAATAATTTTCACAGCTCTATCGCCATTTCAGTTCGCTATTCAATTTCTTTAACTGTTCTCTCTGATTAGGCCCTATTTAATAAAACAAATACTTGCTATCGTTGATAAGCATACATTTAATTACATTCCTATCATTTGAACTATGTACTGTCTCTCACCCCCCCGCTCCTTCCTACACAACGGGGGAGGCGCGGGGACCTGCCCTAATCATCTTCCTTCTTAGGAAATAATGTCATTCGTACTTGTAACATATTTTCATAGACCTTTCTAGAATACTTCTAAAGCTATCTAATTCAACTTTTCACATTTCTTAATCTACGTAATAATCTAGGTCCATAGCCCCAATGCGAAAGCTTTACCCACTGTCCCTACCTGGGTTCGAACCTGGGACCCTCTACATACATTGCCAGTCACAACTACTTCCAGTTCATAGAGCAAGTGACGTCACCAAATGAAAATCGCACTAGCTCTCACCTCATTCAGCAACACAAAAACTCTCTCTCCCTACACCCATTCCCTATTGAATAAGTGAGTCTTTCTATTTAACCCCAACCCCGCTACAAATCTTCCATTCAACATCAACAAACCAAATACTCAGTAGTATCCGGTTACCACCCATACCAGCCGTTGAATTCACTCATACACACAGATTTCACCTTATGCCATTGAAATGCCCAACAAAACATAATAGTTCAATGGAACCCTCTATTGGCTCTCTACTATTTATACATTACTTCTATAACCACATTAGTTATGGTCCGATTACCCATTAAACCTTATCACATGATCAAACAACGGCACAACCTTAAACTCATATGGGGCGGCAGGTAGCCCAGTAACCAAGAGCACCGTGTCAGCAACCGAGAGGTCGCCGGTTCCAATCCCCGAGCCGACCAGGCGAAAAATCTGCCGATATTCCCCCGAGCAAGGCACCCAACCCCAATTGCTCCTGCAAGTCGCTCTGGACAAGAGCGTCTGCTAAATGACCAAAAATGCAAATGTAAATATTCTCTAAGTTCATACGTATATATTGTTAGAAATGTATAGGTACCTCTCAAATAATCGCTTCGTGGTGTTTTTAGCCAATTCTTAATCAACACAAATTACTTCTTCAAACATTTTACCCTGGAACCAAAAAATAGACTGTCATTTCCCGTACACTGCCCTTTCCTTTATCTCTGCAGTCGCGATGGTTATGACCTGTTTTGTTACAGTATTTACACGGGGCCTTACACTCTCTAGCAAAATTCTCTAGTCTTTCCTGACTCTCCAAAAGCCATACTCTCGCTGTGTCTAGCCCCTCCCCTCGCTGTTTCTTCAAATCCGTTCCACAGTTTAGCCTCTAATTTCTCCACATCGGGATGCCCAATAAATCCATACCTCTTCTCCCAAATGGATCCATAAAATATATTTATTCGATCCCTTCCTAACATATACAGTGGGGAGAACAAGTATTTGATACACTGCCGATTGTGCAGGTTTTCCTACTTACGAAGCATGTAGAGGTCTGTAATTTTTATCATAGGTACACTTCAACTGTGAGAGATGGAATCTAAAACAAAAATCCAGAAAATGACATTGTATGATTTTTAAGAAATTAATTTGCATTTTATTGCATGACATAAGTATTTGATCACCTACCAACCAGTAAGAATTCCGGCTCTCACAGACCTGTTAGTTTTTCTTTAAGAAGCCATCCTGTTCTTCACTCATTACCTGTATTAACTGCACCTGTTTGAACTCGTTACCTGTATAAATGACACCTGTCCACACACTCAATCAAACAGACTCCAACCTCTCCACAATGGCCAAGACCAGAGAGCTGTGTAAGGACATCAGGGATAAAATTGTAGACCTGCACAAGGCTGGGATGGGCTACAGGACAATAGGCAAGCAACTTGGTGAGAAGGCAACAACTGTTGGTGCAATTATTAGAAAATGGAAGAAGTTCAAGATGACAGTCAATCACCCTCGGTCTGGGGCTCCATGCAAGATCTCACCTCGTGGGGCATCAATGATCATGAGGAAGGTGAGGCATCAGCCCAGAACTACACGGCAGGACCTGGTCAATGACCTGAAGAGAGCTGGGACCACAGTCTCAAAGAAAACCATTAGTAACACACTACGCCGTCATGGATTAAAATCCTGCAGCGCACGCAAGGTCCCCCTGCTCAAGCCAGCGCATGTCCAGGCCCGTCTGAAGTTTGCCAATGACCATCTGGATGATCCAGAGGAGGAATGGGAGAAGGTCATGTGGTCTGATGAGACAAAAATAGAGCTTTTTGGTCTAAACTCCACTCGCCATGTTTGGTGGAAGAAGAAGGATGAGTACAAACCCAAGAACACCATCCCAACCGTGAAGCATGGAGGTGGAAACATCATTCTTTGGGGATGCTTTTCTGCAAAGGGGACAGGACGACTGCACCGTGTTGAGGGGAGGATGGATGGGGCCATGTATCGCGAGATCTTGGCCAACAACCTCCTTCCCTCAGTAAGAGCATTGAAGATGGGTCATGGCTGGGTCTTCCAGCATGACAACGACCCAAAACACACAGCCAGGGCAACTAAGGAGTGGCTCCGTAAGAAGCATCTCAAGGTCCTGGAGTGGCCCAGCCAGTCTCCAGACCTGAACCCAATAGACAATCTTTGGAGGGAGCTGAAAGTCCGTATTGCCCAGCGACAGCCCCAAAACCTGAAGGATCTGGAGAAGGACTGTATGGAGGAGTGGGCCAAAATCCCTGCTGTAGTGTGTGCAAACCTGGTCAAGACCTACAGGAAACATATGATCTCTGTAATTGCAAACAAAGGTTTCTGTACCAAATATTTAAGTTCTACTTTTCTGATGTATCAAATAGTTATGTCATGCAATAAAATGCAAATTAATTACTTAAAAATCATACAATGTGATTTTCTGGACTTTTGTTTTAGATTCCGTCTCTCACAGTTGAAGTGTACCTATGATAAAAAATTACAGACCTCTACATGCTTTGTAAGTAGGAAAACCTGCAAAATCGGCAGTGTATCAAATACTTGTTCTCCCCACTGTATATTTCATCCCCCATAAATTCTCAGACCTCTTTAGAATATTTATTTCCCATGGTAGAAAAATACGAAATCCCCCGTTTAGTAATAAATAATTTTCTCTGGGACTTATTATTTTGGTGCGACTTTCGAGCGAATGTTTATGATCTACTTTTTGTAATGAACCATTTAAATTATCCAACCCGTAACCCAGAGTTTTTTAAGACCGTAGTTTCATGAAACGGATGGGACAACCATTGTTTTCTCACGCGACCTATTTTAGTCCCTTCCTTGAAACAATTATCACGTATTTCGATGGATCATTAGGTCTCACACGTATACAACCTTATACGATTTTTTGCTAACACTATCCGTAACCTAGAGGTCGTAACTGCTCCAGTTTCATGAAATAGACAGAGTTAGAGCAAATCCCCAGTTGTTTATGACTCTTGACTTGTTTAATGTATCTATCTCACACGCTGATAATTATCTCCCTTCCTGTTTATATTGTAAAGACTGTATCTCGTACAATCTCAATATTAACTAGTTTATTTTGTTAATAGCCATTTACCTAGAGTAATTTTCGGACCCTTCTTCCTTCCTTTATACCCTTATGAGATTTTGGTAACTATTCTCTGCCCTTCACAAGAATTACTATTCTTATACAAGTTCAAATAATTACACCAAAATCCATGAATAAAAATTACTGACCTTCTCCTTGCAGTTCGGATTTAAATGGTTTTTCAAATCTCGGTTAACGTCTTTATCGTTCATAAGATTCATCACCGGCCTGTTTATGACCTTAACGTCGAAGGCCAGGTCTATTCTATACGGATGCTATCATCCGCCCGTGCACGGTTTTCGGTGTCCTCAGAACGATAAAGACGTATTTTGAGCTCCGCTCGAAGGACCATTTGTCACGAGAATTTCTATCTCTAATTAATCAAACTTAATGCTTTGAATAATTCCCAGAGGGTGTAAGGCTCTGGTTTAATCATGAGTTAAACGAAGGTCCTGCTACCAACAAGAATGATCTGTATGTTTTAATCATGGGGAGCTCTCCTGCCAAAAAATACATACACAGCCTTTATACCCCCTGACACACAAAGGCACTTTGCTCCGCCCACCTTTAAACAGCTTCTCAGTCCCCTTCACCCTGGAATGCTTTCTCAGCTGTTTCTAACTCCTCCCCCTCTGTTAGTGGGTTGACACTACATTATAACTCTAACACCGTTCACACATTTATACTGTATTTGGGGTGAAATCCTTTAGTCATTATTCTTAAAATACAAATTAATCTATCAAGACCTCCATTTGGCAAATCTGACCATAATTCTTTCCTCCTGATTCCTGCTTACAAGCAAAAACTAAAGCAGGAAGCACCAGTGACTCGGTCAATAAAGAAGTGGTCAGATGACGCAGATGCTAAGCTACAGGACTGTTTTGCTAGCACAGACTGGAATATGTTCCGGGATTCCTCCGATGGCATTGAGGAGTACACCACATCAGTCACTGGCATCATCAATAAGTGCATTGATGACGTCGTCCCCACAGTGACCGTATGTACATACCCCAACCAGAAGCCATGGATTATAGACAACATCCGCACTGAGCTAAAGGGTAGAGCTACCGCTTTCAAGTAGAGGAACTCTAACCCAGATGCTTATAAGAAATCCGGCTATGCCCTCAGACGAACCATCAAACAGGCAAAGCGTCAATACAGGACTAAGATTGAACCGTACTACACCGGCTCCAACGCTCGTCGGATGTGGCAGGGCCTGCAAACTATTACAGACTACAAAGGGAAGCACAGATGCGAGCTGCCCAGTAGCACGAGCCTACCAGACAAGCTAAAATACTTCTATGCTCGCTTCGAGGCAAGCAACACTGAAGCATGCATGAGAGCATCAGCTGTTCCAGACTACTGTGTGATCATGTTCTCTGTAGCCGATGTGAGTAAGACCTTTAAAGAGGTCAACATTCACAAGGCAGCAGGGCCAGACGGATTACCAGGATGTGTACTCCGAGCATGCGCTGACCAACTGGCAAGTGTCTACACTTACATTTTCAACCTATCCGTGACTGAGTCTGTAATACCAACATGTTTCAAGTAGACCACCATAGTCCCTGTGCCCAAGAACACTAAGGAAACCTGCCTAAATGACTGCAGACCCGTAGCACTCACGTCTGTAGCCATGAAGTGCTTTGAAAGGCTGGCCATGACTCACATCAACACCATTATCCCAGAAACCCTAGACCCACTCCAATTTGCATACCGCCCCAACAGATCCACAGATGATGCAATCTCTATTGTACTCCACACTGCCCTTTCCCATCTGGACAAAAGGAACACCTACGTGAGAATGCTATTCATTGACTACAGCTCAGCGTTCAACACAATTGTGCCCTCAAAGCTCATCATTAAGCTAAGGATCCTGGGACTAAACACCTCCCTCTGCAACTGGATCCTGGACTTCCTGACGGGCCGCCCCCAGGTGGAAAGGGTAGGTAACAAAACATCTGCCACGCTGATCCTCAACAAGGGTGCCCCTCAGGGGTGCGTGCTCAGTCCCCTCCTGTACTCCCTGTTCACCCATGACTGCATGGCCAGGCACGAATCCAACACCATCATTAAGGCTGCCGACGACACAACAGTGGTAGGCCTGATCACCGACAACGATAAGACAGCCTATAGGGAGGAGGTCAGAGATCTGGCCGTGTGGTGCCAGGATAACAACCTCTCCCTCAACGTGATCAAGACAAAGGAGATGATTGTGGACTACAGGAAAAGGAGAACCGAGCACGCCCCCATTCTCATCGACAGGGCTGTAGTGGAGCAGGTTGATACCTTAAAGTTCCTTGGTGTCCACATCACCAACAAACTATTATGGTCCAAACACACCAAGACAGTAATAAAGAGGGCACAACAAAGCCTACTCCCTCTCAGGAGACTGAAAAGATTTGGCATGGGTCCTCAGATCCTCAAAAACTTCTACAGCTGCACCATCGAAAGCATCCTGACTGGTTGCATCACTGCCTGGTATGGCAACTGCTCGGCCTCCGCCCGCAAGGCACTACAGAGGGTAGTGCGTACGGCCCAGTACATCACTGTGGCCAAGCTTCCTGCCATCCAGGACCTCTATACCAGGTGGTGTCAGAGGAAGGCCCTAAAAATTGTCATGGACTCCAGCCACCCTAGTCATAGACTGTTCTCTCTGCTACCGCACGGCATGAAGTACCAGAGTGCCAAGTCAAGGTCCTAAAGGCTTCTTAACAGATTCTAACCCCAAGCCATAAGACTCCTGAACAGCTAATTAAATGGCTACCTAAACTATTTGCATTGTCGGACCGCAGAGTGAAGGAAAAGCAGCCAACAACTGCTCATTTTACAGTGGGGAAAAAAAGTATTTAGTCAGCCACCAATTGTGCAAGTTCTCCCACTTAAAAAGATGAGAGAGGCCTGTCATTTTCATCATAGGTACACGTCAACTATGACAGACAAAATCCAGAAAATCACATTGTAGGATTGTTAATGAATTTATTTGCAAATTATGGTGGAAAATAAGTATTTGGTCAATAACAAAAGTTTCTCAATACTTTGTTATATACCCTTTGTTGGCAATGACACAGGTCAAACGTTTTCTGTAAGTCTTCACAAGGTTTTCACACACTGTTGCTGGTATTTTGGCCCATTCCTCCATGCAGATCTCCTCTAGAGCAGTGATGTTTTGGGGCTGTCGCTGGGCAACACAGACTTTCAACTCCCTCCAAAGATTTTCTATGGGGTTGAGATCTGGAGACTGGCTAGGCCACTCCAGGACCTTGAAATGCTTCTTACGAAGCCACTCCTTCGTTGCCCGGGCGGTGTGTTTGGGATCATTGTCATGCTGAAAGACCCAGCCACGTTTCATCTTCAATGCCCTTGCTGATGGAAGGAGGTTTTCACTCAAAATCTCACGATACATGGCCCCATTCATTCTTTCCTTTACACGGATCAGTCGTCCTGGTCCCTTTGCAGAAAAACAGCCCCAAAGCATGATGTTTCCACCCCCATGCTTCACAGTAGGTATGGTGTTCTTTGGATGCAACTCAGCATTCTTTGTCCTCCAAACACGACGAGTTGAGTTTTTACCAAAAAGTTATATTTTTGTTTCATCTGACCATATGACATTCTCCCAATCCTCTTCTGGATCATCCAAATGCACTATAGCAAACTTCAGACGGGCCTGGACATGTACTGGCTTAAGCAGGGGGACACGTCTGGCACTGCAGGATTTGAGTCCCTGGCGGCGTAGTGTGTTACTGATGGTAGGCTTTGTTAATTTGGTCCCAGCTCTCTGCAGGTCATTCACTAGGTCACCCCGTGTGGTTCTGGGATTTTTGCTCACCGTTCTTGTGATCATTTTGACCCCACGGGGTGAGATCTTGCGTGGAGCCCCAGATCGAGGGAGATTATCAGTGGTCTTGTATGTCTTACATTTCCTAATAATTGCTCCCACAGTTGATTTCTTCAAACCAAGCTGCTTACCTATTGCAGATTCAGTCTTCCCAGCCTGGTGCAGGTCTACAATTTTGTTTCTGGTGTCCTTTGACAGCTCTTTGGTCTTGGCCATAGTGGAGTTTGGAGTGTGACTGTTTGAGGTTGTGGACAGGTGTATTTTATACTGATAATAAGTTCAAACAGGTGCCATTAATACAGGTAACGAGTGGAGGACAGAGGAGCCTCTTAAAGAAGAAGTTACAGGTCTATGAGAGCCAGAAATCTTGCTTGTTTGTAGGTGACCAAATACTTATTTCCCACCATAATTTGCAAATAAATTCATTAAAAATCCTACAATGTGATTTTCTGGATTTTTTTGTCTCAATTTGTCTGTCATAGTTGACGTGTACCTATGATGAAAATTACAGGCCTCTCTCATCTTTTTAAGTGGGAGAACTTGCACAATTGGTGGCTGACTAAATAGTTTTTTTCCCCACTGTATACACAGTGATCGAGTGGGGATTGGAACCAGGTGTGTGTAATGATGACGAGACAAGTCCGGGGTTGATGAGTGACAGGCGTTTGCCAGAAGCAGGTTCGGCAGCAGCTAGAAGGCCTGAGCTGGACAGGAGGGGGAGCCAAAGTGAAGGCTGGTGTGACAGTAATACCTCCTCGGCACCTCCTCGGCACGCTGGAACCAATCGTCCACCGCAGGAGCCTCAATCTGACTACAGTGCCAGGGTGCCAGGGCTGGCTGATAGCCTAGAACACACAGAAAGGGTGTGAGGTTAGTGGATGAGTGACGGAGGGAGTTTTGTGCATATTCTGCCCAAGGCAGAAATACAGCCCAATCCCCTGGCTGGTCCTGACAGTAACTACCAAGGTATCTACCCAGTTCCTGATTTACGCTTTCCACCTGCCCATTTGATTGTGGATGGTAGCCGGAGGTGAGGCTGACCGTGACACCCAGTCGTTCCATGAAGGCCTTCCAGACACGGTAGGTGAACTGAGGACCACGGTCAGACACAATGTCCTCCGGGATCCCGTAGTGCCGGAAGACGTGAGAGAAGAGAGCCTCCGCGGTCTGGGTGGCCAGACCAGGCAGAGGAATCAAATGACAGGCTTTCGAAAACCGGTCTACAACGACCAGGACGGTGGTGTGCCCCTCCGAGGGGGGAAGGTATGTGACAAAGTCCACTGAGTGATGGGACCAGGGTCGTTGTGGAACCGGCAGCGGGTGGAGTTTGCCATAGGGGAGGTGTCTCTGTGTCTTGCTCTGTGCGCAGGTGAAGCAGGAAGAGACGTAAACCCGGATGTCCCAGGCCAAGGTGGGCACCAGTACTTGGCGGAGAGACAGTCGATAGTACGGGCTATACCCGGGTGCCCCGACACAGGTGCTGTATGTGCCCAGGAGAGGAGATGGTCCCGCACATCAGAGGGCACGTAGATACGCCCCTCGGGACAGTGGGCAGGTGAGGGCTCCTGGGGTTCGGACGGATGTTCGCGTCCACATTCCACATGACAGGAGCCACAATGCGGGACAGGGGAATAATGGGTGTCACTTCCTCCCTCCGATCCTCTGTGTCATGTACCCGGGACAATGCATCGGCCTTAATGTTCTTAGATCCCGGATGGTAGGAGAGGGTAAAGTCAAACCTGGTGAAGAATAGGGCCCACCTGGCCTGATGCGGGTTCAGCCTCTTTGCTGCTCAAATGTACTCTAGGTTCCGGTGGTCCGTCCAGATAAGGAATGGGTGTTGAGCACTCTCCAGCCAGTGCCGCCATGCCTTCAGCGCCTTCTTGACGGCCAACAACTCACGATCCCCCACGTCGTAATTCCGCTCCGCGGGAGACAGCTTCCATGAGTAGAAGGCACATGGATGGAGTTTAGGCGGCAATCCGGGTACGGTGGGAGAGAACAGCCCCTATTCCAACCTCGGAGGCATCCACCTCCACAATGAAGGGCAGAGACGGGTCAGGGTGAGCCAGAACCGGTGCATTTGTAACCGTTCCTTGAGCGCACGAAAGGCTTCTTTGACCTCCCCAGTCCAGCCCAGCTGTCGAGAACCTCCCTTCAGGAGGGAGGTGAGACGGGCCACCACTGTGCTGAAACCCCTAATGAAGCGCCTGAAATAGTTGGTAAAACCTAGGAAGAGCTGCACCGCCTTGATGTTGGAGGGAACATGCCACAACCGTACTGCACTGACCCTCTGTTCTTCCAACTCCACTCCCGCCGTGGATATCCGATAGCCTAGGAAGGAGACCGTCTGCTGGAAGACAAGGTACTTCTCTGCCTTGGCGTACAGGTGATGCCCTATCAGCCTTTCCAAACGGACCTGACATGAGAGTTCACATGTTGCTCACATGTGGTGGGGTACACCAAGATGTTGTCTATGTACATCACTACAGAGCGACCAAACATGTCTCTAAACACCTCGTTAATGAAGGATTGGAACACCAAGGGTGCATTTGTCAGGCCGTGGTGCATTACTCTAAATTCGTAGTGCTCGGTGCCGGTGCTGAAGGCGGTCTTCCATTCATCCCCCTGTCTGATACGCACCAGGTTGTAGGCACTGCGTAAATCAAATTTGGTAAAGTACTTTGCACCGTGCATCTGTTCGATCACAGTGGGTATGAGAGGCAGGGGATAACATAATTTTCTTATTCAGTGTCCGGTAATCGATACAGGGGCAGAGACCTCCGTCCTTCTTCGTCACGAAAAAGAAGCTGGAAGAGGCTGGAGAGGTGGACGGATGGAGGAATCCTTGAGACAACGCCTCCTGGATGTGGACCTCCATGGCTTCGGTCTCTGCATGCGAGAGAGTGTAGATGTGCCCCCGCGGGAGGGTAGAACCAGGCAGTAGGTCGATAGTGCAGTCCCATGGACGATGAGGGGGCAGGCACATGGCACAATTCTTCGAAAAAGCCACCTGTAGGTCCTGGTATTCCTCCAGGATAGGGACGTGGGTGGCCTGGTCCGGACTTTCCACGGAGGTGGCACAGATAGACACCGAGAGACACCTCCCCTGACACTCCTGCGACCAACCCAACAACCTCCTCTCTGTCCACGATATGCTGGGGTTATGCAACTGTAACCAGGGGAGACCTAAAACTACGGGGTGTGCAGGTGGTTCATGGTGGTTGTGATCAACTGTGAGGGAAATGGGAATCGTGGTCTGGCTCCAGGGGTGGTCCGACTCCCCGCAGTAGGAGCAGAGATCCTGTTGACGTTGGTGTTGACGTTCCTCTGGGGAAGGTGCGTCGTGCCCACCTCCATGGGCTCAGTCTCGCTGGTGGTTCCTGGGAGAGACCCGAACCCCTGGGATGGGCGACGACGGGCACGCAGGAGATTATCCAGGTGGATGGCCATGGCGATGAGCTGGTCCAGCGTGAGGTCCTCATCGCGACAGGCCAGCTCAGTCTGGACGTCTGCCTATAGCCCGCTGTGGAAAACTGTAAACAGGGCCTGGTCGTTCCAGCCAGTGGACGCAGTCACCGTCCGGAAATCCAGAGAGTACTCAGACGCTGTCCTGGACCCCTGGCGCAGACGGAGGAGACGCTCACCTCCCTCTCGGCCCACTGTTGGGTGGTCGAAAACAGCACGGAAGAGTTGGGTGAAGCGCTCATAGGACTGTACTTCTGGACCGTCCCTCTCCCAGACGGCGTGCGCCCACTCCAGAGCCTGTCAGCATTGAAATCACCAAGGCCACCTTGTCCCTCTTGGAGGCCGTCCCAGCATGACGTGCAAGGTGGAGGTCACACTGCAGGAGAAACCCCCTACAGTGAGCTGGGGTGCCGTCAAACCGCTCCGGGAGGGGCAGGAGGACGTTGCTGATTGGACCGGGTGATGTAGATGGTGGTGGGGTGGCTGGAACACCCGTGAGGAGCTGGGAAGGTGGAGTTGTAGCCTACAGTTGGCGTATGGTCCGGATCACCTCGTCCATGGCAGTCCCGAGGTGCTACAGGTACGGAGAGTTCGTGATGTCCTGCTGCCTCTGTTTTCTGTCACAATTGTAGAGAGGAGTAGGCAGGAGGCAGTCGCAGGTTTAGAACTACTGAATGTATTAAAGCACCATAGCTTATGCTGGACAAAACCCACAGTGCAAAATATAAAGTACACAGGAAATAGTAGGAGAGATTCCTCTCAGGAAAACAAGCAACATTTACAATGACTGACAACGACAAACGACAGAGGGAGTATATATACAGTGATAAAGTGGGGATTGGAAGCAGGTGTGTGTAATGATGACGAGACAAGTCCGGGGTTGATGAGTGAAGGGCGTTTGCCAGCAGCAGGTTCGGCAGCAGCTAGAAGGCCGGTGACGCCAAACGCCTGAGCTGGACAGGAGGGGGAGCCAAAGCGAATGCTGGTGTGACACAACTCAACAAGTTCTTCTCTTGTGCCTTATAGCAGGACAGGTGAGGGTGACTCCTCTCTATAACGGGCCCAGAGTTGTCTTGGTAATGAAAAATGTTCCACTGCTGCAGCAAACCGAGAAAGAGACACATGAAACTACAGCATGTACAAGCTAAGCTATATTTAGTACTATATTTGTACTCCCGAGTGGGGCAGTGGTCTAAGGCACTGCATCGCAGTGCTAGCTGTGCCACTAGAGATCCTGGTTTGTGTCCAGGCTCTGTCGCAGCTGGCTGCGACTGGGAGACCCATGGGCGCCGCACAATTGGTCCAGCGTCGTCCAAGGTAGGGGAGGGTTTGGCCGGCAGGGATGTGGGTTCGTTTCCCACGGGGGGCCAGTATAAAAATAAAAAAATAAAATAAAATAAAATGTGGTATGTATGCTTTCACTAACTGTAAGTCGCTCTGGATAAGAGTGTCTGCTAAATGACTAAAATGATTTAGGCCTACTGAAGAAGAAGTACAAACTTTATTACTTGTTACCAAATGTTCAACTTTTTGGATACGCTCTAAATGGGAACCTCTGGCTGGTGAAGGAGCCTAGTGGTTAGAGTGTTGGGACAGTAACCGGAAGGTTGCTTGTTCGAATCTCAGAGCTGGCAAGATGGAAAAATCTGCCGTTCTGTCCTTGAGCAAGGCAGTTAACCCCAGCAACATCTGTTCCCCGGGCACCGATTACTTCAATTAAGGCAGTTCCCCGCATCTCTCTGATTCAGAGGGGTTGGGTGAAACGCAGAAGACAAATTTCGGTTGAATGCATTCAGTTGTGCAACTAACTAGATATCCCCTTTCCCTAATGGGTGGCTTGTGACAGACTGAAATAGCTGAACTGAGATAGATAAGGGAAATATCAGTTTTCATGTTCTCACACAGCTGATTGTAGTCACTGTCTATATTTGACAGTTGAATGGCAGCGTGCTTTTAGGTGGATAGTACTTCTGCATTTAATTCAATCCTCATAAAATTGGTATTTGCATGCATATATAGGATGAATAGACAACTCCCTATCAGAGGATACAGTAGTACAGTTTTGTTTTACAGTAAGGCAGTTCCTCTTTGTCAACATCTGTCAGTGAACAGGTGGACATCAGGTGTCCATCTTTAAAGAGGGCTGACACCTGCAGCTTTGCCCTTTACCAATGAATGCTGTTTACTCTTTCAAAACCTTTTGAACGGTCAATATTCTCCTTACAGTTTTGTTTTCACATGGTAGCCTAGTAACCATATTAGTTCTCTGACACCTCTGTAGAGTCTGTGACCTGTGTGTGAACCCTACTGTAGCTCTCCCATCCCAAATCAACAGTTATTCGTCACGTACACAATTTACAGCAGGTAAGACTGACTGACACAAGTTAGGAGTGATAGACAAATGTTTTCTACTGCCTATTATCACTCAGACACACACCACTATTGACATGAAAACACACAATAAGAGTTGGAATGATAACCTCTGTGTGAAACAGTAAGTTTTTGTTAATCAATGGGTTTCATTGATTGAGGTTGCGCTATACAACGTTTCAGTGGTTCTTACATGTAATGTCCCTAAGTCCAGTCAAAGTCTCGGTGATAATGGTCTGATAAAGTGTCAAGCTCGGTTTGTATTCTGGATGATAATTCCTCATCCTTCTACTCTATTGTTTTTGATAGAGGGCCTACCACAGGGTCTACAGCAGTCTACCACAGCAAACCAAACTAAAGACATACCATGACCTTCTTCCCCATCTCCCATTTAAATATACACATTTTCGCTTAAATACTTATTGCCTGATTTGCATTTTGTACACGATCCCAAAGCGGCCATTCAATTAGTTGCATTTAGTAGTTAAATGCAAAAAGGATGCATTTAGCATGTCCAGGTCCATGTGGGATTTTCCCATGGCTCGTCTTGAACATGCTGAGGCAGAGAGCGGATTTGCATGAATTGGAGGAGAGTTGAAGCAAGTACTAGAGGCTTCACTGCCAAGTGAAAGTTGTCAAACGGGTACAGTACAAACAGTAACTATTAAGCAATTATCCTGGAAAGGGCACACACTATACCAGATTGATAGTTCAGTCTGCATTTTCTTTTTAATATACAGTAGGTACCAGTAGATTACAGTAGATATTTAACTCACTGCTGTCTATTGGGCATGATTCATGTTTTTCACTCATGGAAGAATTGTCAATATTTCACAAAATAAAATACATTTCACATAGTCATGTAAATGTGCAACACCATCGACCATCGACCCTCCATGTGTGTCTGTATAATCAGCCCCCACGCAGTCTCATATGGATTTCTTCCATCCTATGGTTGGCAACTGTTGTGTAACCTCTTGGCCTCCACTGTGACCCCTGGCTTACTTTTAGACAGAGTTTCCAATTTGCCCCTTATCCCTTCCTCTTGACACTAACTCTTGGAGATCTGAAGACTCTGTACAGGGTCTGGATAGGTATAAGCAATGTAGTGGTGGCGCTTCCACCATATTGCTTCCACCTTACAGATCTGCACACCTTGAAGGGTTAGGGCCAAAGTGAAGTGGTAGGGAGTAAATTGGGACTGGCTGTGTTTCACACAATAGAGTGCTGATTGCAATAAAACAAAAGTATCAGGAAAAGAGACAGATAGAGATAGACAGTGTCCGTCAGCCAGACCTTTATCTGTTTGGAAATTAGCGTCTCTGCGAAAGGGAATTGACACGGTCATTTACTGACCCAGATCCAGCCCAGAGAGGCATAGCAAGTCAAGTTAATGTGTCACAGAGGCTATCTGACGCCATTGTGAAATCCTCCATGCCAGGCGGCCTTGAAGGACCTTAAGGGAGGGTTTTATGGTGAAAGGGGCTTACCTAAGGGAACGCTGGAGTATAAGAGGCCTGATGGCTGAGACGGCGTGGACATGCTGTTAAAGTACTGAGCCTCCAGACCATCCGCTCTCATCTTTACCACGTCATCCCGACTTCTTCACCTCCTTTTCCACCTCCAGCACCTCCTTTCTACCCCAGCTACTATTCACCATGGGAGTCGCTTACAGCATTGAAGAGTAAGTCACAATACTTACTATGGATACCAAACCTGGACGCTTGATTTGGAGAAATAAGGGTTTTGTAGACAAATCTTGTCCTTTCTTTGCCAGGTTAAAAATGTAGTTTAACAAGGGCAATAGGAGGGATTTTGATATTGCAGCTTTTGGGGATTTTCTTGATCGTGGGAATAGCTAGGTCTGTGTCATCTTCAGCTCCAGCCTCTTCTGCATGAGGCTTCAGGTCTTGTTATTGTTCATGCGGACAAAATGCATGTGGGTGGTGAGCCACAAGTAGAGGCTACGTATGATCTGATAGTGGCATTCCAATGGGCTGTAATCATATAGTTGGACCCTTAATTAGCTTTTTTCCTGTAAAAGTTATTTCTAGGAAGAAGCTAAAATACTTGTTTTTCCATGCAGAAATTGGTTCACTTTAGGCTTGTTTAAAGATTTCTGGCTTGTGGTTGTTAGATTAGATTGTGTTTTAATCATATTGAAGAGGAGTGTGGGGTTTTTTGGTGAATATAATATCATTGTATGTGATTGCCTCCTCAGGGTTGACCACCTCTACACCAAGGACAACAACATTAGACACCGCAAAAATCCCAGCTACCTGGTAGTGGAGAACGACAAGCTAGCTGTGATTGACAAGTTATTCCACGACCCTGCTGCCCCTGCCGCCAAAAACTGGGAGGTGAGTTCTGACTCAAGGATCTAAAGATGTGGCATTGCATTCAACCACCTCTATCTCTAATGCAATGAGAGCAGTTTCTCGTTATAAAGAATGGATTAGACAAATTATACACATATTAAATAATAGATTTAAGCAAGTTTGAAACTATTTTTATTTGACATTTATTTATCCAGGTTAGGTTTGTTGTGATGAAATATCTATGAACTATTGTTGCTGCAAGGCACAGATTTGTTAGCCATTTTGTTAGCCATTTTGGTACCAGTCTTCTTCTCCTAACATTCTACTCCTTGCCACTTCTTCTCATATGCTAAACATGTTTGGCATATGGCACGGAGTACAATGAGTGGAAGGTTAGCAAACACAGACTAGTACCCAGGCTACAGAATTGTTGGCTCACTGCCATGAGTAAAACCATGACCTATTTTGACAGTTAGCTCAAACCTGGTGAATACCCCATATATGGGCATACTTCCCGTAATTCAGTTCGCTGCAACTGCCATCCTGCTTTTTCGAGAAAGGAATCTGGAACACAAAACTAAGGTTTCCACAAGCAGGGCTGCTATCAGCCAATGAGATTTAGGGGTATGGAAGTTGAATGAAGTAAGAGAGAGCATTTGATGGGTGGATACAGGTAATCAGTTCACACTCTTGCCTGTGCCTGTGGTACATACAGTATCATATACTGAGGCTATTGTGTTACATTATTAGTATACATGAGTTGTGTTAGACTAAGAGGAATATTAGTAAACATGAGATCAATGCAGGAGAACATAAAGGTGCTTTACTTTGCAAACAAATGTATGGAGCCATATGTACAGGTGGGTTGCTAACTATACTCTGATTTTTGTAAATTGTCATGTTTAGCGTGAGATAATGTACTAGTATGTATGCTGTTTTTGTTCGTATTTTTAGAAACACACCTTTAGTATGACCTAAATCTGTGAAGAGTAGTTTTAGGGTTGGTCTGCAAAAATGTTAATTTCTTGGTGATAGAAGGGTTGAAGAAATTATTGTATTTAGTCTTTTATCACCCACCCTCCCTCACTAGTACTGATTGTGGGTGTAATTTCATGTTTTATGTGTGTTTGTGTTTGAGTCAGTTAAGCACTCAGCCTTATGTTTTACAATATCAGTGTGGTTAAGAAACTCACAGCAGAGAGAAAAATAGTGTGTTTTAACAGAGATGTGGTTTCATGTCCAAATCATCCCAAAGTGTCTGAAATTGATTGTGTACCTTAATAAAGTTACTTTAAGATAATTTGAACATGAAAGCGAAAATGTATAATATCGGGGACATAACCAGTATGTCATTTTGTAATTTGGGTGAACTTTCCACTTAACAGAGTTTGTGGTTATTTCCTTGCAGATCATCACAGTGAAGGATTCAGTGAAGCGTCGACGGAGTGTGTGCAGCTCAGTGGAGAGTAACCGCTCTGAGGACGAGGAACCTGAGGACTTCCTTCCTGTTCTCAGAAACCACAGCCAGCTCCTCAACGACCACCACATCGAGAGTGTGAGTTACTGTTAAACTACACTACAACAAAACACTGTGGCTAAAACAGTCAATTCTGGCACATTTACAGAAATGTTGATGAAGGTGCTTTGTACCTGTCAAATAAACCTAATGAAGTGTAGTACATGTAAAGTAAAAGTAAAGCAATCATCTCACAGCACTATATAAGCTACACTGCCAGCTCATGGGAGGAACTTAGTGCTTTGGTTTGTTTGATATGTACAAAGCTAAATATGGGACTTTTTTTTTGTTCCGGGCAATTAAAGTGCACATACTCATCTCAGCACTACACAGCTTTGACATGTGAGTTTAAATGGGACCTTTCCTCATCCTCCATATCATCCTCTGTTTCTGAAACCCACAGCTAGCCAATCACATGCCAGCAAGGACACAGGGGTATCCATGGAATCTGGTCTACAGCACAGCCATTCATGGCACCAGCCTGAAGACTCTGTACAGGCAAATGGCCCAAATCGATAGTCCTGTGCTTCTGGTCATCAAAGACATGGAAAAAAAGGTAGACCTCTCAACAACACACTGTTCTACATGACTGACATCTAACATACTATTACATCCATGTACTGCTATTACATTGTTATTACATCCCAGTAAAATGCTAATAGGTTTGTTTTCCTCTCTCTCAGGTGTTTGGTGCCTTCTCCTCCCATCCCTTCAGAGTGAGTGACTGTTGCTATGGAACAGGAGAGACTTTTGTCTACAGCTTCGACCCTGAATTCAAGGTAACACTGCATACTGTTGTGTGCACGGCTTTGTCCAAAACGGCATCCTATTCACTATATAGTCCACTTCTACGTTTGACCAGAGCTTACCTTTGTACTATAGGCAATAGGGTGTCATTTCAGAGACAGCCTCTGTCTTTGTAGTTAATAGGCTGTGATCCACGTCACAGTATCATTTCGCCTGATGGTTGTGATGGGTGGCTTTAATCTGACACCTCTCTCTTCACACAGGCATACAGGTGGAGTGGTGAGAACTCGTACTTCATCAGGGGCCATATGGACTCTCTACAGATTGGTGGAGGAGGGTAAGTGTTCAGAATTTCCTTTATCAGAAATACCTAACCCATTATCATCTAAAAGTAAATCTAGTTAGCTTCCACAAACTCATTGATGTCTACAGATCAGATAGGCTAAACCACATCCTTTGGCTCTGGTCTGATATATGTTTCTCTTGTTGACCTCTAGGGGGCGTTTTGGCCTGTGGCTGGATGCTGATCTGTACCACGGTGCCAGCTACGCCTGTCACACCTTCAACAACCAGCCCCTGTCCACCCAGCAAGACTTCACAGTGCAGGACCTGGAGGTCTGGACTGTCCAGTGAACAGAGCGAGACACTGAGAGACTCAGAAGCGGAAAAGAGAGAGAGAGAAAAAGCCAGAGCCATGTCTATCTATCTATGGTTTACAACATGGCTTTACTTGTGTTCAGTGAGGTTTAGCCTGTGTTCAAGCGGTTAGAGTACAGTAAGCCTAGTACAATAAGCTTGGTTTATCCAGTGATTGTATATGAATGGACAAAGCCATCAATCATGTGACACCAGTCATTGTAGCCTCCTGTAGCTCAGTTGGTAGAGCATGGCGATTGCAATGCCAGGGTTGTGGGTTCGATTCCCACGGGGGGCCAGTATGAAAAATATATGCACTCACTAACTGTAAGTCGCTCTGGATAAGAGCGTCTGCTAAATGACTCAAATGTAAAATGTAATTCCTATGTGAAAACTCAATAGTGCATTTGAAGCCAAGGAAGTCCGTTATGATGGCGTCTCATGTGGGAGAATTACGTAGGCATAACGTGCTTAGTTTGAGCTACTCCAGAAAGTGACGTTGCAGGCTAGCTCAGTACTGCCCCCTCTCATTGAGTATTTCACTTTAAAGGCAGAATGGGGTAATGTCCTGTAGCTCAGTTGGTAGAGCATAGTGCTTGCAATGCCAGGGTTGTGGGTTCAATTCCCACGGGGGGCCAGTATGAAAAATGTATGCACTCACTAACTGTAAGTCGCTCTGGATAAGAGCGTCTACTAAATGACTAAAATGTAAATGTAATAACTTATTCTGTGTGCGATTTTAAAATAATCGGTTCAAGCACATACATATGGTGTAATATAAGCAATTATTAGTACCATTTTTTGTTTTTTTTTGTGATTTTATTTACACGAAGATTGACCATGAAGATTGCCATCTTCCCATTCAATATAATTTGGGCTCCCGAGTGGCGCAGCGGTCTAAGGCACTGCATCTCAGTGCTAGAGGCGTCACTACAGACCCTGGTTTGATTCCAGGCTGTATCACAATATGGCTGTGATTGTGAGTCCCATAGGGTGGCACACAATTGGCCCAGCGACGTCCGGGGTAGGCGGTCATTGTAAATAAGAATTTGTTCTTAACTGATATATAAAAAATTATGGGGATCCTGTGTGCTGCAATCAAGGCAGTACTGCGGTTGGTACAGTCTATCTCCCCTGGGTTTGACCTATGTATAACCTGGTCTAGTGAATTTTAGGCTGGTTTTACCAGTGCGTAACCTATTATACCAGCATTAACTCAGGTTTTATCTGTGTTTTGCCTGGTTAACTGAGGACTGTATGGTGAGAGATAGACAGGCTGTTTTACAGGGTCCTACTGTTTGCTGCTCAATAACTGCTACTGAACAAGCTCTGTCCAATACCAGCATTACAACTGGTTCTAAACATCTACGCTTTAAACCCTCCATCAATCCTTTGTTATGGACAGCATTTACAAACCAAAGCCCATTTTAGAGTAAGATCCTATTCTCATTACAATTCCATCATAAGCTTTAAACTTTATAGAGGCTAAGATGAACACACTACTGAACGACCCAACTAATTTAAACTACTATTTTGTATTTATTTATTTGTCTGTGTTACAAGGGTATAACATCAGATGCCCACTAGGGATTCCTCACACACACAACATTCAGGTCCACACACAACTACTCAGGCAGAGTACTGTCTCTTAGAGCTGCTAAAGGCACCTGTGGAAATAAAACCTTTAGAAATACCTGCAAGTCCATTCACCTGTGGCCTCTAATGGTTTGTACTAAAGGTATGGGTTTAAATCCTATGTTAAATGTTCTCTTACATTTCTAAAAGAGAATATGAAAGTTGGAATATAAGATAGACCAATTGTTTAATTTGGCGTCTTTTTCACATTCCCTTGATGTTTTTTTATATTTGCTATAAAAGTATATATAGATATATTGAAAGAAATGTTATCCAGGGAAGTATTGTGTTTTGTTGCTTTGTTCTGTTCTGTTCTGTGTTGAGTCTGCAATGATGTATGTTTTTCTGTATGTGTGCTGTACAGTGCTGGCACTGTTAATGGTTCCTTATTAAAATCCTGTATTTCCAGGTGACAAAAAAGTTATTTAAAACCTGTGTGATTATGTGACTGATTGTTATAAACTCAATAAGCATCATTGCCTGAAATAGTAAAACTAATATTAATCTAATTAAAAACAATATAAAAGCAAGATTTACGATAACAAAAGGACATATTACATGTTTTAGATTAACCCAGTAGTTTGAAATATCATGCTAGATTACCCAGTCCTTTCTGAATGTTGAAATGAAGCTAGCAATAGGTAGCCTAAGGCCACCTCAGTAATCACACATAAGTAATTGTACAAGTATTGGCTTTGAAAGAAATTATAAAATGTCACGGCATTTATTTACATCTTGTTGTACTGTCAAAGAAAGGATGTTTGTTTAATGAATCTTTATTACTGTAAATAGTAAAGAGGAGTTCGATAAACTAAGCTAAAGGCTATGACCAGTTCAAAGTTGCAGCCATGAGTCAGAATGAAAAATAAAGAAGTTAATCTGTATCGTTCTTTCCTAGGTCTGGCCGCTGCTGCAGCACATTGATAGGGATCATTCAAATTTCACGAAAATGGCTTACAAAATCCCATCTTTAAATAATTTGGGCAAACACAACAATGCAATATAACCGTTGCATTGACTTATAAATGTTGAAGAAGTGGCAGAAAATAGAAAAGCCTATCTGCTAAATGACTAAAATGTAAACATCTTATCTAGACTGATTCAGTGAGGGAATGGTTTCATTGCCGCCATCAGGTGGTCATTAGTGCGTACTGCCAAGTTCGGTAATTGTTTGCTTTTCCCTTCGACTCGACGACGATAACCGCTTGATCCACTTGTATTCCTTCGTTGATGACAGGTCCCAGTCTCACCGACAATATGGTTTCCACTAGTTCCCACAGCCACAAAGTCAAAATTGGCTAGGCATAAGGTTAGGTTTAAAATCGCATTTTATGAAAATAAATTGTAGAAATAGGCGGGGTTTATCACTTTGTAGCTGTTGTAACGACCAATAAACATGGCAACCAACGAGGGGTCAGAACCTGCAAATGTTTATATTTCTAAAACAAACGTAGATCGAGGCGAAGGATACGACAACAAATGCATATTCTGCAAGGTTGTCAACAATGAGATGGGCACGGAGCTTCTTCATGTTGTAAGTATGAGTGAATTATTGACACTAAACAAACTAGCTAGCTAGGCTACGTTGTCAGAAAACAGCGACGATGATGACCACTGACAGATAATGACATCTCATTTGAGCTAATCCATTATCCCCTTTGTTCCATGATCATATTTCCATAGCTATTTGGAAACAATATACATTATTGATCCCCCAAATACCGTTTTTAGGCAGGTTAGCTTCCAAACTGAAAACAATGCTGATTGTGACGGACGTCCTAGTTAAACCAGCTAGTGACCACCCCATGTCTTTGGGTTGCTTGACAGGACGAGGAGATCTCGTGCTTCAGGGACATCAAGCCCGGAGCTCCCCATCACTACCTGGTTGTGCCCACGAGACATGTTGGAAACTGTAAATCACTCAGTAAAGAGCACGTGTCATTAGGTATGCAATTTTAAAGTCCAGTTTTAAGTAGTGTGTGTGTGTGTGTGTGTGTGTGGACTGATTATTCTGCTGTGTCTGTGATCAGTAAAAAAGATGGTGGAGACAGGGATGGAGATCCTCAAGAAGAACAATGTCTTAGACCTCAGCGATGTCAGGTATGATGACCAACATTCACTCCAGCCAATGTCACATGATTCAAATGAAGGAGCGTTTCTCAATCTTCAGATATTATTAGGGCTGTGACAATACCAGTATCAAGATGTCACGGTTTCGGCCGAGGCTGCTCCTCCTCCTTGCTCGGGCAGACTTCAGCGGTCGTCGTCCCCGGAGTACTAGCTACCACTGTTGTATGTTTTCGATGTTCGTTTGGTTTTGTCTGATTGTGTACACCTGTTATCGTTTAGTGTTTATTATGTGTCCTATAAGTTCTCGTTTTGTTAGTCATGTGTTGTGTGTGATTGCTCCATCTGTCGTCTGTTGACTGTGCGTGTTTTTGCTCCTTTGTTTAGGAGAGTTTGTCGCACGTGTGTGCGCGTTAGTTTGCTCTGTGTTAGTTTACGCGTGTTGCGTAATCGCTCGTCTCCGGGCTCGTTGAGGCTTGTTTCTTGTTTTGTTTTACTAAAGTCTGTTGGACTAAGCTTCTGTGTCCTGCGCCTGATTCCTGCACCACATTCCACATACAGCACTCCTGACAGAATCACACACCAACGATGGAATCAGCAGGCGCAGCAGCAGCACCCGAGTCACTGGAGGAGCGCGTCCGCGAACAGAACGACCAGATCCTTCGCATCGGGACCGCCCTTCAGGAAGTTATCGACACTCTGCACCGATGGGATAACAGAGGGACACCCACACCTCCACCTACCTTGCCATCACCATCGGCCAGTCCGCCCATCCAAGCTCCGGAACCCAGTGGGATTCGGCTCTCGCTCCCGAGGGCGTATGATGGCACCGCTGCCGGGTGTCAGGGGTTCCTCCTGCAGGTGGAACTCTACCTGGCCACCGTACACCCGGCGCCCTTGGGACACGAGAGCGTTTCCGCCCTCATCTCCTGTCTCACCGGCAAGGCGTTGGAGTGGGCCAACGCCGAATGGAGGAGGATAGACGCCGCCACGATCACATACGCGGAGTTCTCCCGCCGCTTCAAGGCCGTGTTCGATGATCCACCTGAGGGGAAGGCGGCGGGGAAGCGTCTATTCTACTTCCGGCAGGGGAAGAGGAACGCCCAGGAGTTCGCTTTAGAATTCCGGACTCTAGCGGCGGATGCAGGGTGGAATGAGCGGGCCCTCATCGATCACTACCGTTGTAGTCTACGGGAGGACGTCCGTCGAGAGCTGGCCTGCAGGGATACCAGCCTCACGTTCGACCAGTTGGTGGACATGTCCATCCGGCTGGACACCCTGCTGGCCACCCGCGGACGTTCCGAGTGGGGTTCGTCCATTCCACCCTCCAGCACCTCCGAGCCGAGCCCTATGGAGCTCGGGGGTGCTGGCGCTAGAGAGAGGAGGGGAAGGAGCACGAGGGGGGCCGTCCCCTGCACCAACTGTGGCCGTGGAGGACACACCGCGGCTAGGTGCTGGGGAGGGTCTCCTAGGGGAGAAGACGGCAGGCCACGCACTGGGGAGTCCTTCCAGGTGAGTAGGCGTCCCACTTACCCAGAGCTCTCTGTTGTGCACTTCTGTATATCTGTGAGATTTCCACAGGCAGCACCTCATTCCCATCATAAGGCGCTAGTAGATTCAGGCGCAGCTGGGAATTTTGTTGATCGAATGTTTTGTTTAGAATTAGGGATTCCCCTTCTTCCTGTTGATGTCCCATTTCCCGTTCATGCCCTAGATAGCCGTCCGTTGGGATCGGGGTTGATCAGGGAGGTCACAGCGCCACTTAGGATGTGTACGCAGGGGGGTCATGAGGAAACTATCCAGCTATATCTGATCGACTCTCCTGCGTATCCGGTGGTGCTGGGAATTCCCTGGTTGAGTACCCATAATCCGTCTATTTCGTGGCAACAGAGGGCTCTTAAGGAGTGGTCTGCCCAGTGTGAGGGGCGATGTTTGGGTGTTTCCGTGGGGGCGACCTCGGTGGAGAGTCCAAACCAGGTGTCCTCACTGCGCATTCCCACTGAGTATGAGGATTTGGCACTTGTGTTCAGTAAATCGAGGGCGACGCGTTTGCCTCCTCATAGACAGGGGGACTGTGCGATAGACCTCCAGGCAGGAGCAGCGCTTCCACGGAGCCATGTGTATCCTCTGTCCCAAGAGGAGAAGAGGGCTATGGAGACTTACATTGCCGAATCTCTGAGACAAGGATACATACGGCCCTCCACTTCTCCTGTGTCCTCAAGCTTCTTTTTTGTGAAGAAAAAGGATGGAGGGTTGCGCCCGTGCATTGATTACCGTAGTCTCAATCAGATCACTGTGAAGTACAGTTATCCACTCCCTCTGATTGCGACTATGACAGAGTCTTTGCACGGAGCCCGTTTCTTCACAAAACTGGATCTCAGGAGCGCATATAACTTGGTGCGCATTAGGGAGGGCGATGAATGGAAGACGGCATTTAGTACCACCTCGGGTCATTACGAGTATCTCGTCATGCCATACGGGTTGATGAATGCTCCTTCAGTCTTCCAATCCTTCGTGGATGAGATCTTCCGGGACATGCAGGGACAGGGTGTGGTCGTGTACATAGATGACATCCTGGTGTACTCGTCTACCCGAGCCGAGCATGTAGCCCTGGTGCGTCGAGTGTTGGGTAGGCTGTTGGAGCACGACCTGTATGTCAAGGCAGAGAAATGTCTGTTTTTCCAGGAGTCGGTCTCCTTTCTGGGTTATCAGTTGTCCGCGTCAGGGGTGAAGATGGAGGTTGACCGGGTGTCAGCCGTACGTAATTGGCAAATCCCAACCACCGTTAAAGAGGTGCAGCAGTTCTTGGGTTTTGCGAATTACTACCGGAGGTTTATCCAGGGTTTTGGACAGGTGGCAGCTCCCATAACGTCTCTTCTGAAGGGGGGCCCGGTGCGCATGCAGTGGTCAGTGGAAGCGGACAGGGCTTTTGGGAGACTGAAGGCCCTGTTTACTTCGGCTCCGGTGCTTGCGCATCCGGATCCTGCCTTACCATTTCAGGTAGAGGTGGACGCGTCTGAGGCCGGTATAGGGGCCGTGCTATCTCAACGGTCCGGCACGCCACCTAAACTCCGCCCCTGTGCTTTTTACTCCAAAAAGCTCAGCCCGGCGGAGCGTAATTATGACGTAGGTGACAGGGAGCTGTTAGCCGTGGTTCAAGCCCTAAAGGTGTGGAGGCATTGGCTTGAGGGGGCTCAACACCCTTTCCTCATTTTGACTGCCCACCGTAACCTGGAGTACATTCGGGCAGCTAGGAGACTGAACCCTCGCCAGGCTCGGTGGAACATGTTTCTAACCCGGTTTGTATTTAAGATCACGTACATCCCTGGGTCCCAGAACGGTAAGGCAGACGCCCTGTCCCGGCGGTATGACACAGAGGAGAGGTCCGTTGAACCCACTCCCATACTGTCGGAGTCTTGTCTAGTGGCACCGGTAGTGTGGGAGGTCGATGCTGAAATTGAGCGGGCGTTGCGTACCGACCCTAGCCCTCCACAGTGTCCGGTGGGTCGGACGTACGTTCCGCTCGAGGTTCGGGATCGACTTATTTATTGGGCTCACACGTCACCCTCCTCTGGACATCCAGGTATTGGCCGGACAGTGCACTGCCTTAGCGCTAAGTACTGGTGGCCAACGTTAGCCAGGGATGTGAGGGTCTATGTCTCCTCCTGTTCGGTGTGCGCCCAGTGTAAGGCGCCCCGACATCTGCCCAGGGGTAAGTTACAACCCCTGCCCGTTCCACAACGACCCTGGTCTCACCTCTCGGTGGATTTTGTTTCAGACCTTCCCCCCTCTCAGGGGAATACCACTATACTGGTCGTTGTGGATCGGTTCTCTAAAGCCTGTCATCTACTCCCAATGCCGGGTCTTCCTACTGCCTTACAGACCGCTGAGGCACTATTCACCCACGTCTTCCGGCATTACGGGGTACCCGAGGATATAGTGTCTGATCGAGGTCCCCAGTTCACCTCCCGAGTCTGGAGAGCGTTCATGGAGCGCTTGGGGGTCTCGGTGAGCCTTACCTCGGGGTACCACCCGGAGAGCAATGGGCAGGTAGAACGTGTGAACCAGGATGTGGGTAGGTTTCTGAGGTCGTATTGCCAGGGCCGGCCGGAGGAGTGGGCGAGGTATATTCCCTGGGCAGAGATGGCCCAGAACTCTCTCCGCCACTCCTCCACCAAACTAACCCCTTTCCAATGTGTTAGGTTACCAGCCGGTTCTGGCACCGTGGCATCAGAGCCAGATCGAGGCCCCTGCGGTGGATGAGTGGGTAAGGCGCTCGGAGGAGACGTGGAACGCTGCACACGTCCATCTGCAGCGGGCCATCTGTCGACAAAAGGCGAGCGCCGATCTCCACCGCAGTGAGGGGCCGGTGTACGCACCTGGAGATCGAGTCTGGCTCTCGACCAGAAACCTACCCCTCCGCCTGCCCTGCCGGAAGCTGGGTCGGCGGTTTTTAGGGCCTTTTAAAGTCCTGAGGAGATTGAACGAGGTGTGTTACAGGTTACTACTGCCTATTGAGTATAAGAATATTAACCCCTCGTTCCATGTGTCTCTTCTCAGGCCGGTGGTAGCTGGTCCACTCCAGGACAATGAGATCAGAGAGACTCCTCCGCCCCCACTGGACATCGAGGGGGCTCCGGCATACACAGTTCGGTCCATCTTAGATTCGAGACGTCGGATGGGGGGTCTCCAATATCTTGTGGAGTGGGAGGGGTACGGCCCGGAGGAGCGGTGCTGGGTGCCGAGGAGGGACATCCTAGACCCGTCTCTCCTGACAGAGTTCCACCGTAGTCACCCTACGCTCCCTGCTCCGCGTCCTCCTGGTCGTCCCCGAGGCCGGGGTCGGCGCACGGCTGGAGCCGCGCGTCAAGGGGGGGGTACTGTCACGGTTTCGGCCGAGGCTGCTCCTCCTCCTTGCTCGGGCAGACTTCGGCGGTTGTCGTCCCCGGAGTACTAGCTACCACCGTTGTATGTTTTCGATGTTCGTTTGGTTTTGTCTGATTGTGTACAACTGTTATCGTTTAGTATTTATTATGTGTCCTATAAGTTCTCGTTTTGTTAGTCATGTGTTGTGTGTGATTGCTCCATCTGTCGTCTGTTGACTGTGTGTGTTTTTGCTCCTTTGTTTAGGAGAGTTTGTCGCACGTGTGTGCGCATTAGTTTGCTCTGTGTTAGTTTACGCGTGTTGCGTAATCGCTCGTCTCCGGGCTCGTTGAGGCTTGTTTCTTGTTTTGTTTTACTAAAGTCTGTTGGACTAAGCTTCTGTGTCCTGCGCCTGATTCCTGCACCACATTCCACATACAGCACTCCTGACACAAGATATGTTTTCCATGGCAAAAAACGAAATACAAAGCAGACCAAACTCTTTGGTCCTTTAAAAACCTGCTGTATGTAAAATATTGTGTGATATAGCTTGAAGAATGAACACATGTGACTAGATGACAACATAATGATGTCTGTTTACAACATTAGGGCTGTTTTCCTAAATAAGTTAAATCTACTTTGTATTTTTATTTCTTTGCCACGATACTAACGAGTGTCACAATACTGGTATCGTCCCGGCCCTTTTAACAAGTGGCTCCAATTGTATAGGCCAAATTTATTTCAACTGAGACCGTATTTGCTATGCATGCATAGTTGATGGGTTTGGCTCAATGAAATGACATACAACGGCAAATCACATTCAGCATTCTGTAGATTTTAGCATTTTAAACATGCTGCTGTTGTCACAGCAGATCATGCAGAGACAAGAAAACAAAACATTATTGTCTGCTTCTGTCTACAGGTTTGGCTTCCACTGGCCCTCATTCTGTTCTGTCTCTCACCTGCACCTCCATGTGTTGGCACCCGCCAGTCAGATGGGCTTCATGTCCCGCCTCTTCTACAGACCCAACTCCTATTGGTTTGTCACGGTTAGCCCCTTTCAAATGGCCATTGTAGTACAGTAGCTAACTGACAGAATTTGTATGATAAATGTTTCACTATTTACCCCACATTGTGTCTGTTCTGTGGTTATATTATCCACCTATAAAGTTCTGTGTCCTTACAGTACCAAAGTCGGGAAAGAAAAGTCATTTTCCTTGCCTTGCTTCCTTGACAGCACCTGGACACCAACACATCAACTGGTGTTGCTCAGTCCCCTCCTGTACTCTCTGTTCACCCATGACTGCATGGCCAGGCACGACTCCAACACCATCATTAAGTTTGCCGACGACACAACAGTGGTAGGCCTGATCACCGACAACGATGAGACAGCCTATAGGGAGGAGGTCAGAGATCTGGCCGTGTGGTGCCAGGACAACAACTTCTCCCTCAACGTGACCAAGACAAAGGAGATGATTGTGGACTACAGGAAAAAAAAGAGGACTGAGCACGCCCCCATTCTCATCGACGGGGCTGTAGTGGAACAGGTTGAGAGCTTCAAGTTCCTTGGTGTCCACATCACCAATGAACTATCATGGTCCAAACACACCAAGACAGTCATGAAGAGGGCACGACAAAGCCTATTCCCCCTCAGGAGACTAAAAAGATTTGGCATGGGTCCTCAGATCCTCAAAAAATTCTACAGCTGCACCATCGAGAGCATCCTGACTGGTTGCATCACCGCCTGGTATGGCAGCTGCTTGGCCTCTGACCGCAAGGCACTACAGAGGGTAGTGCGTACGGCCCAGTACATCACTGGGGCAAAGCTTCCTGCCATCCAGGACCTCTATACCAGGCGGTGTCAGAGGAAGGCCCTCAAAATTGTCAAAGACTCCAGCCACCCTAGTCATAGACTGTTCTCTCTGCTACCGCACGGCAAGCGGTACCGGAGTGCCAAGTCTAGGTCCAAAAGACTTCTCAACAGCTTCTACCCCCAAGCCATAAGACTCCTGAACAGCTAATCATGGCTACCCGGACTATTTGCACTGCCCCCCCACCCCCATCCTTTTTACGCTGCTGCTACTCTGTTAAGTATTTATGCATAGTCAATTTAAACTCTACCCACATGTACATATTACCTCAACTACCTCAACTAGCCGGTGCCCCCGCACATTGACTCTGCAACGGTACCCCCCTGTATATATAGCCTCCCTACTGTCACTTTATTTTACTTCTGCTCTTTTTTCTCAACACTTTTTTTGTTGTTGTTTTTATTCTTACTTTTTTTTGTTTAAAATAAATGCACTGTTGGTTAAGGGCTGTAAGTAAGCATTTCACTGCAATGTCTGCACCTGTTGTATTCGGCGCATGTGACCAATAAAATTTGATTTGATTTGATTTGATTTGTTTGGGAAAGAGGGCTCTATTTTTAAACATGGAGTTAGACACTCTAGTCTGGCAGCTGATGAACAGCTCCATTGTTCCTCACTCTTCTAACAGCTATTTTCTCTGTTACTCTGGCTGTTGTGTTGTCATCTGTTAAGAGTCAGTCAGCCAACACTGATCTCTCTGCATTATCACTGCCAGCTTTCATGGACAATTAACTCCCTGTGGAGACTACTGGGCTGGGGAAATCTGTTGGGATGAGACGACTGAAGGTGACTAAAGCCCCAAATACACCGGACAAGGAAACCTGTTTTTACCTGGGTCTGCCTTCGGTGTATATGGGTCTTCCCAGGTTAAAGGATGGCCATCTTTACAGTATGTCAGGGACACTCACCCATATCAGTCTATTCCCAACAGGTTGGTTAGCAGGCTCTCACCTCATGCAAGAGCCTTTGTTTTTCTACCTATAGATACACTACATGAGCGTGACAATGGACTGGCAATTCAGACATCATAAAGCCATGAAGAAGCCATGAATTGTCGTTTATTTATTCCTGTACTATGTGTGTTTGTCTCCTGCAGGCAGACCAGTTGATTCAGCAGCTGAACTCTAAGGGAGAGACCAACTGAGTGTTGGGTTGCAGTCTAGGCTGGTCCAGTGAGAGACTGGGTTACCTTACTGGTAGTGAAGTGAGCAGGTCAGGACTGGTCTGGTCTCCCTCTGTGGTTCTCTGTGTGAGTGTACTGAACTCCCTAGCAGGTTACAGTGAGACTAGTGATGATGGTACAAATCAACTCAACTGAGGTTTTTAATTATAGTATCAAGCTGAACAGCCTAATCAGAAATTAAGCTAAATATTTTTTCCTTCCTTATTATTTTAAATACTTTTGTGAAAATGGCCAATAGTTACGCTTTTCTTTTTTGTTGTACAGAAAATAAAATGGTAATGACTGGAATGATTTTGGAGTCATTTTTCCCTTGGTAAAGAAAGATATCAAAAGTGATACAAATATACATGTTTGTGTATAGGCTACATTATTAATGCAAAGAACGATTAGTAACGTAAAGGCATTCCTAAGTGATCATAACCAGGAGACCTGAGAGTGGTAAGTGAATGGGATGTATTGGGACTGGGAAACATACTGTAAGTCTCATTGCAGGATACCTTTGATAAAGATGACTAATGCATGTGCATTGTGCCACTGGCTTGCATCCCAAAGGGCACCCTTTTCCCATAGGGCTCAAAAGTAGTGCAATATATAGGGAATAGGGTGCCATTCGCAATGCAGTCACTGTCAACAGGATCCCGTATTATGAGGTATAATAACTGAAAGCAGACACACGTAATGAGAAGTATGAGCTTTTTTAGGCCCCAGTCAAGTGGTCAGAAAAGCAACTGTTTTGCATGAATGGTAATAAATAATCATATACGGTCAGTCTATACAAAGAGTCCAATGTAAGTGTACCCTGGAGTGTGGAGGTTTAATATATGCACTGAATATTACCTACATTACTAATTCACCAAGATACATAATAGTAGGAGCTCAGTCATCCATAAACAATTGTTTCTTGAGTCACACATTCTTTTAACACAATACACTACATTAACTGTGTTATTTGATTATGAATGTTGAAGAGTGATTCTAAATTTTTTGTTATGCACTGCAGCCCGATGGAACACTCAATGAAGTAATGTATGTTGAGTGTATGCTGCGGCATGAAATGGAGAGCTTCATGTGTTTGTATTTATTGGTTGACGTATCGCTGTAAAATAATCTCAACATGTACAGTGGGGAAAAAAAGTATTTAGTCAGCCACCAATTGTGCAAGTTCTCCCACTTAAAAAGATGAGAGAGGCCTGTAATTTTCATCATAGGTACACGTCAACTATGACAGACAAATTGAGAAAAGAAAATCCAGAAAATCACATTGTAGGATTTTTTATGAATTTATTTGCAAATTATGGTGGAAAATAAGTATTTGGTCACCTACAAACAAGCAAGATTTCTGGCTCTCACAGACCAGTAACTTCTTCTTTAAGAGGCTCCTCTGTCCTCCACTCGTTACCTGTATTAATGGCACCTGTTTGAACTTGTTATCAGTATAAAAGACACCTGTCCACAACCTCAAACAGTCACACTCCAAACTCCACTATGGCCAAGACCAAAGAGCTGTCAAAGGACACCAGAAAAAAAATTGTAGACCTGCACCAGGCTGGGAAGACTGAATCTGCAATAGGTAAGCAGCTTGGTTTGAAGAAATCAACTGTGGGAGCAATTATTAGGAAATGGAAGACATACAAGACCACTGATAATCTCCCTCGATCTGGGGCTCCATGCAAGATCTCACCCCGTGGGGTCAAAATGATCACAAGAACAGTGAGCAAAAATCCCAGAACCACACGGGGGGACCTAGTGAATGACCTGCAGAGAGCTGGGACCAAAGTAACAAAGCCTACCATCAGTAACACACTAAGCCGCCAGGGACTCAAATCCTGCAGTGCTAGACGTGTCCCCCTGCTTAAGCCAGTACATGTCCAGGCCCGTCTGAAGTTTGCTAGAGTGCATCCAGAAGAGGATTGGGAGAAAGTCACATGGTCAGATGAAACCAAAATAGAACTTTTTGGTAAAAACTCAACTTGTCGTGTTTGGAGGACAAAGAATGCTGAGTTGCATCCAAAGAACACCATACCTACTGTGAAGCATGGGAGTGAAAACATCATACTTTGGGGCTGTTTTTCTGCAAAGGGACCAGGACGACTGATCCGTGTAAAGGAAAAATGAATGGGGCCATGTATCGTGAGATTTTGAGTGAAAACCTCCTTCCATCAGCAAGGGCATTGAAGATGAAACGTGGCTGGGTCTTTCAGCATGACAATGATCCCAAACACACCGCCCGGGCAACGAAGGAGTGGCTTCGTAAGAAGCATTTCAAGGTCCTGGAGTCTCCAGATCTCAACCCCATAGAAAATCTTTGGAGGGAGTTGAAAGTCCGTGTTGCCCAGCGACAGCCCCAAAACATCACTGCTCTAGAGGAGATCTGCATGGAGGAATGGGCCAAAATACCAGCAACAGTGTGTGAAAACCTTGTGAAGACTTACAGAAAACGTTTGACCTGTGTCATTGCCAACAAAGGGTATATAACAAAGTATTGAGAAACTTTTGATATTGACCAAATACTTATTTTCCACCATAATTTGCAAATAATTCATTAAAAATCCTACAATGTGATTTTCTGGAATTTTTTTTCTCATTTTGTCTGTCATAGTTGACGTGTACCTATGATGAAAATTACAGGCCTCTCTCATCTTTTTAAGTGGGAGAACTTGCACAATTGGTGGCTGACTAAATACTTTTTTTCCCCACTGTATGTATATAATGGTTGTACATGGTTAGGTTAAATAAATTATGCATTGCTGCCTCCACTAGGGTATCAAATTTCCTTCCTGCTCTGTCATTAATGGGAAACATCATTCAGTAACACTTAATGTAAAGTATGCTGTTATATGTCTTTAAGACTTGATATAACCATTTATGACCCTTTATAATGCCTTATAAAATGTATATGTTATGCAGGCTTTAAATAAAGTGTTACCCATCATACTAATGGAATTGATCATGACTCAAGTCATTTTTGGTGATCTGTTGGAAGACTTTATTGAAAGACATCATTGCTTTGCTTTGTAAACATGAACACGTGTGTGGAATACAGTATATTAGTTGGTGACAAAAAAATAAATCAAATGAGTAAAGTGTTACAGTACATTTCATCATATTGTGATATGAGTGCAAGTAGCTGCAAAAGCATTCCTCAAACAGCTCTTGTTAGATTGTACAGTGTAAATTACACAAATGCCAGTGGACCAAAAAGTGACGTGCTATTTCTCCAGAATGTATATACAATTGTGTTACATTCTCAACTGTGTATGCGGTTTCATAGTCTACTTCCAGCATTTCTAACAACCCTACTGTGTCAGTGTGTTGTATTTGTGCCCTAAAAAGTACACCTTTCCTCTGTGTCTAATTCCAAAGGTTGCTAAGGAACATTGTAAACGCTATGTAAATTACAGTGTAGCGGTGTGGTGTAACTGGGAATGCAACGCAAAGTCCATTCAGGCCAATAGGATCAGGTTAATCCTACAGCACCATATTGCGTGTCACTGCTGCCACATGTTGGTTCTCTTGGGCCCTGTCCTGAAACAACTACCCCTACTAGGTGCAGGTGTAAATATAAAATAATTGGATAGGTGTTGTAGCTGCACCTTGCTATCTAATGTAATTTTCACCATATTGCTTAGACCTATCAAATCCTTTCAGAACTACACAAGTGCCTAGGGACTAGAGGGCTAGGGGATGTTTCTGGACAGGGCCTTGGTTACTGTCTGGTCAGTCTGCTGCATCATCCTGGAAGCAGCATAATGACAACCCTGTCATCTCATCCTGGTCACTGTAGCAGTGTGATGAGGACCCTGTCATCCTGCCCCTGCCACAGCATCTCCCCTTCAAAGCTGATCAGGCCTTGTTTTCTGGCCCTCAGCAGGATCCCCACCACCTTGTTGGAGATGTTCACATAGTGCTCAAACAGTTTCCCAAACTCCACCGTCACCACAGGTCTCTCCCCGCCGCCATCGTCCCCACCGCCACGGCTCTCCCCGATGTCCCTGATCGCCTGGCAGAGCTCCTCCACCTCTCGGCTGATGTGGACGTGGGCGTCCCGGCCCCTCTGCTCTGTCAAGGAGCCCTCCAGGGGCCTCCCGTAGCCGTCCTGGTCCCGCTGGAGACCCTGCTGCTGGGCAGTCACACTCATCATTGCCCCCCGGTCGTTACTGAAGGGGTTGTGTTTCTGGTACTCCTGATGCTCGTTGGACCATCTCTGCCAGTTCTCCTTTAACCCTTTCACTGACGCCACACACACTGTCCTGTCATCGTTAAACTCGACAGGTGCATCGTTGTTCTCCATGGTGGTGTCTCAGGTTTCTTGTACGTATTAAGTGATCCGTCCACTTTTAGGCATAGTTCATTTTCTGTGAGTGTAATAAAAGTTTAAATGAACAACTGTTGAGAGCACAATTACATGTCTGTGTAATAGTAGCCTTATTTCTAATTTATAAACACACAACTTAATCCTCAGAAATAGCCTATTTAAATCCTTAATTAAACCCTGAATAAAGTTATGATAAACTATATTAATTACAATAAAGTTATAATAACACGCCATCATCCTACTAATGCTCTGATGAAGGTGAGAGTTCTTCCAGATCAGAGGTGTCATGCCCATTGGGGGCACAGGGGCACGTGCCCCCTCAGATTTGTCCTGTAAAAATTATAAAGATATACAGTACCAGTCAAAAGTTTGGACACACCTACTCATTCAAGAGTTTTTATTTTTTTTAAATTTTACATTGTAGAATAATAGTGAAGATATCAAAACTATGAAATAACACATATGGAATCATGTAGTAACCAAAAAAGTGTTAAACAAATCAAAATAGTAGCCACCCTTTGCCTTGATGACAGCTTTGCACACTCTTGGCATTCTCTCAACCAGCTTCATGAGTTAGTCACCTGGAATGCATTTAAATTAACAGGTGTGCCTTGTAAAAAGTTAATTTGTGGAATTTCTTTCCTTCTTAATGCGTTTGAGCCAATCAGTTGTGTTGTGACAAGGTAGGGGGGTATACAGAAGATAGCCCTATTTGGTAAAAGACCAAGTCCATATTATGGCAAGAACAGCTCAAATAAATAAAGAGAAACGACAGTCCATCATTACTTTAAGACATGAAGGTCAGTCAATACGGAAAATTTCAAGAACTTCAAAAATTTCTTCAAGTACAGTCGCAAAAACCATGAAGCGCAATGATGAAACTGGCTCTCATGAGGACCGCCACAGGAAAGGAAGACCCAGAGTTGGCTCTGCTGCAGAGGATAAGTTCATTAGAGTTAACTGCACCTCAGATTGCAGCCCAAATAAATGCTTCACAGAGTTCAAGTAACAGACACATCTCAACATCAACTGTTCAGGCTTTCATGGTCGAATTGCTGCAAAGAAATCAATACTAAAGGACACCAATAAGAAGAAGAGACTTGCTTGGGCCAAGAAACATGAGCAATGGACATTAGACTGGTGGAAATCTGTCCTTTGGTCTGATGAGTCCAAATTGGAGATTTTTGGTTCCAACCGCCGTGTCTTTGTGAGATGCAGAGTAGGTGAACGGATGATCTCCGCTTGTGTGGTTCCCACCTTGAAGCATGGAGGAGGAGGTGTGATGGTGTGGGGGTGCTTTGCTGGTGACACTGTCAGTGATTTATTTAGAATTCAAGGCACACTTAACCAGCATGGCTACCACAGCATTCTGCAGCGATACGCCATCCCATCTGGTTTGCACTTAGTGGGACTATCATTTGTTATGACCTAAAACACACCTCCAGGCTGTGTAAAGGCTATTTGACCAAGGAGAGTGATTTAGTGCTGCATCAGATGACCTGGCCTCCACAATCACCCGACCTCAACCCAATTGATATGGTTTGGGATGAGTTGGACCGCAGAGTGAAGGAAAAGCAGCCAACAAGTGCTCAGCATATGTGGGAACTCCTTCAAGACTGTTGGAAAAGCATTCCAGGTGAAGCTGGTTGAGAGAATGCCAAGAGTGTGCAAAGCTGTCATCAAGGCCAAGGGTGGCTTACTTTGAAGAATCTCAAATATAAAATATATTTTGATTTGTTTAACACTTTTTTGGTTACTACATGATTCCATGTGTTATTTCATAGTTTTGATGTCTTCACTATTATTCTACAATGTAGAAAATAGTAAAAATAAAGAAAAACCCTGTAATGAGTAGGTGTGTCCAAACTTTTGACTGGTACTGTATATTATTTACTTTTTTTGTTAAATCTTTTGTTTTTTATCTGTAAAACTACTAGCCACCTAGCATTGTTATGAAGTTGGCTTTAGCTAGTCCAGATAGATTCCCAATCAACCAACCTCATAACTATCTACCAAGAAGCCATTTCAGGCTATCAATCAAGTTAAGAGTAGCTAGCTTGTCTAACTATCTTCGCTGGCATGCCTGCTGGCAAGGTTGGTAGACTTTAGAAAAGCTAGCAATTACTAAATGTACTGAATAAGACTCACATTCCTTTGAATCTTTTACCTAGATTTTAGCAGAGATGCAGAGAAGCATATTTAGTTCATTTAAAAAATAATAACCACCAGTCAGGAGGATACAGAGAGCTCAAGAGGTATCCTTAGATATGCAGAAAAATAAACATATTTTTTACATAGAATTAAGCATAATGATTATGGCTCTAGATTCCAGGAAAAGCTCCTTCAGGTGTTTGAAAAATGCAAAATTCGCCAACTTCAGGAAGGGGACCCTGCCATCTTCACATACTTTGTGCCCCCTCATATTTTATGATGGCTCTGTTCCAAATTGATTTATAAATGAAAAACATTTAATTAATCTTGCACACAGATTAATTTCACAGTACAAGAAATATAGGAATGCAAAGTGAGCACACATCTGTAAACTGAAAGTGTCATACATACCATAAGGTGACAAGTGTCACTGCTACAATGTCAAAGTCGATGTATAGCTTATTCCGAGATGTTCTTCTGTCTGTGTCGACCCGTTATGAATAGCTGACATTGGTCCTGATATTTGATTTTAGGTACCTTACACTTCTTGTCACGAACACTGATATAGCCTGATGAACATTTGTCTGTTAGCAACATTGTTCCATGCTATGGAACTTTACATTAGAACAGTGCTGAATCAGATACTTTTTCTACCCGCAGTGAAAAACACTGATGGGCATTCAAAGTAGCCAATGACAATGTGGTGATGATGCAACTAGCTAAATGTTGATCCAATCGTTGAGGAGTTGTCAAGTGCACTGTCAGTGAGCGATGTTCTGAAGTAAAGCAGCTTACCTTTGGGATATGTTTGGTTGGTGGATCATTAGCTCTCGCTTCAGTAAAATCATGCACCCGCATTTATGAAGCAGTTATGTAGCAGCTATACAGAATAATAAGCACATAATTATTTGGACGTTAATTACAAAACTAAAACAAACACATTTTAATTTTGGGTTGCCAAAATAAATGCATTTAATGCACAATCATTGCTGGTAAACTGGTATTTATTTTGAAACAGACAGGAACCACTATTCGCGGGGACGCGGTTTCTAGCCGGATGTATTTTGGGTGGGAACTCGAACATGGCGATCCACTGTAGCAGAACATGCCTACAATATTTGATACATCTGGCCCACGACAATGTTGACTTCAGACTACCGGTATGCATAGACATTATACCAATGTCGTACCTCTCTGTCAAACTGTAAATGTTGTGTTATTTCTCTCCATCTCTAAAGATCTGGGTGTCTCATTATGTCATTTCTCCCCATTACATTAGCTTGCTAGGCTAGTACTAGCTGCAAGCTGTCACGTTTGAATTCTATAGAAATGTTCTGATTTTATTTATTGTCCGTCGTAACATTACAGGAGGTTAGGGCGCTGCTGTCCCTCAGGGGCAAACCGTTTGATACAGGTGAAAACTTCAAAGAAAAGGTAAAATAAGTTAGTGTCTATTTTTATTATTAGCCTGATAGCCATACCAATGAAGGCAGGATTTGGCCATTATCAGGTGTCCATGCATAGGCTACTCAAAACCTAAAATCTGTAATTATTTTCCCCAGTCTCCATTCTGGCGCCTGAATGGCTTGTCAGAGGAAGATGTCAACAGCATCATGGCCAGAACTGTTTGTGCAAAGTAAGTGAGACAGATCAACAGTGGAGTTGCAATGAAAAGTGCTAGAGGGGTACTGCAGCACAGTAAATTGTAATGACCTTTTTGTGGTTATTTGTTTATCACCTAGGTCTGCATTTGAACTGTGGGGTCATGGCAGAACTCACAGTGAACTGAGGACCTCGCTCTTGAAATACCCAACAGAGAACATGGTTTGTGAAAAATTACATTACATCTAAATAGAGGGTAAACTAATCATGTGGAGTAACTAATGTGTGTAACTTTACCCCTCCCAACAGTCACCCTTCCTACAGAAGGACTCAACATACAAAATCAATGTCTACACTTTCAACAAGACTCTAGAGTTTGAAGATAGAATTAAGAAGATAGATGTGAGTATGATACACTTGACTTGGTCCCAGTAATTTGTACTTAAGATTGAACCCAGCAAAGTCGACTTACTCTACCTTTTGTACTGCACTATTGTGTTAAAGGCAGGCACTGCTATGCAGTATGCACCATGACACCTGGACAAGTTACCCTGTGGTCTTCCTCCCCAAGGCAATGGAATATCTCTCCTTTGAGGGAAGGGTCAATCTGAAGAACCCTAAACACATCTTCTGTCTGTTGGAGGACTATGGAACTGACCCTAACAACATCCCAGACGAGCCTCTCTACATCTACTTTGGGAGATGGGTGAGTCAGTGTGTTGTGTGCTCCTTCGTTTCCAAGTCATTATACAAATGAGTAATTACTATAACTCATTAATGTTATTTTCCGCAGTGGTTGTTAACCTTCTTTGGTTCCCAATCACATTTTGATCTGCCCGAAGTATTCCCTCTTGTGAAACTTATCATGAGGCCTATGTCCTTAAGTCTTCCCAAGTCCCCTGTGTATAAGCCAGGTACTAGGTTGAGAATGATAAAGCTAGTCCTATATTTGATCTTGTCTTATCAACTGTATGTTCCTTAGATTGCAGATGGCCAGCGTGAGTTGATTCGCTCTCACAGTGTGAAAAACAGGCACTTCATAGGTAACACCAGTATGGATGCTGGGTTGTCTTTTATCATGGCGAACCACGCCAGGGTCAAAGCTCACGACCTGGTCTACGACCCCTTCGTTGGGACTGGTAAGAGAAAAGTTGCTTTTGGTCTTTGAACTGACACTTGCAGAAATACACTGCGTCTTAGCTGAACCCAAGGCTAGTCTTTGCTTATTGGATATTTTCTCTCTCTCTCTCAGGTAGCCTCCTGGTTGCATGCTCTCATTTTGGTGCATATGTCTGTGGAACAGATATTGATTACAACACCATCCATGGGATAGGTAAGACTCTAGAAATGGCCTTGTTTATTTTATCTTATTTTGGAACCCAGTTAAATATCTTGTGCGTTGGCAAGTGAGTCAATCCATTTATATGATGAACATTATGTTGATTATGCTCTTTCTATCAATCCATTTATATGATGAACATTATGTTGATTATGCTCTTTCTATCATAATTTAAAATACTGTTGTTTTTTTCTGTGCTCACTTTCATGCTCAAATCCAATTGCATTGTCCGGTAGGCCTAACACTTGATACGTGACATGATTACAACTAGGACCGGGATGATACCAGTATCTCAATATATTTTTTCCATGCCAAAAAATAAAACACGAAGTAGATCAAACTCTTTGGTCCTTTTACACCTGCTGTGTGTAAAATATTGTGTGCTATAGCTTGGAAAATAAATACATGTGACTCTGGATGACAACATAATGTGTCGGTTTCCAACATTTGGGCTGTTTTCCTAATTAAGTTAAATCCGCTTTGTGTTTTGTTTCCTTGCCACGATACTAACGAGTATCGCGATACTGATATCGTCCCGGCCCTAATTACAACCCAGTGCATTGCTATATAATAGTATTTTGGTTTGTTTTTCAGGCAAAGCGAGTCGTAAGAACCAGAAGTGGAGGGGTCCAGATGAGAACATCAGAGCCAACCTGCGTCAGTATGGCTCAGAGAAGCTGTATGTGGACGTCCTGGTGTCTGACGCCTCCAAGCCTATCTGGAGGGACGGAGTGCTCTTTGACGTCATCATCACTGACCGTACATTCTTATCCTAGAGCTCTGTGTTTGGTCCTCCATCCAGTCATTTCTCCTGGACAGTCATGCACGCATGTCCACATTCTTTGGGATTTGTTCAGATTTAAATCTGTTCAAATCTCTTATCTTTCATTTTTGTGTGTGTTTGTTTAATTCTCAGCGCCCTATGGGATTCGGGAGTCAACCAGGAGAACAGGCTCTCAGAAGGACAGTGTAAACAGCGCAAAGCCGTCTGAAGACTAGTACGTCTTCGTATTCCTCTTGAGTCTCAGTGTTGTATATCATGCGTAGTGCTTTGTATATTTTCTCAGTTTTGAAAAATACCTCCTGTAAAACTTGCAAGCAAGCACTAGATACACTAGATATATAAAGTCCTCTCAGATGATGTTAAATCAGTTTATAAAGGCATCTTCACAGCAGTAACAGACTCTTTTATCTTTCATCCAGCGTTGGAGACAGCCATGTCCCCGTTTCCATGGCCTACCACCTGAGTGACATCTTCACTGACCTGTTAAACTTCTCAGCTCACCACCTGGTCATCGGGGGGCGGCTAGTGTACTGGCTACCAATCTACAGGCCAGAGTGAGTATTGATGTGTTTGTTTATTTGTCAGGGACCGTTCACAACAACACCAGTATTGCACCAGAGTTATCTACATACAGGTACATGGTTAATATCCATCTGTGGTCCCTGGAAACAGCACTTCTTGTTAAAGCTCTATAGTCTGAATTGGTCATATATTCACATCTGTTGGTGTTGAATGTACTGTATCGTCATGGTGTTTACATGGGTTTGAGCTCACAGATGTATTGTCAACACAGTCTCCCTCTTCTCTATGTGTAAACCAAATAGCACTGTCATCAACTATTGTGATGTCGAAGACATGTTTGTTAAGACCTTATTGCACACAGGGTCAACCTCACTAGTCAGCTGTTTTTCCTGCTGATAGACCCTGTTCTTTTTCCCCTTTCCCCTTTTAGACCACTAGAGGGCAACAGTGACACTGGTGATTTAGCCTACACCCTGATGAAGTGTTGATACTGTACTAGATCTGCTTAACGAAGCATTCTAGTTTAGATTAGGGCTTTTCTCCCTGTACTTCTTCCCCTCATAAGCATCATATTCTCCGTCAGGACCAGGTGTTTATTCCCATCAATAAATCCCATTCTCTTTCCCATAAAGTCTTCAGGCCTGGGGTTAGTGGTGTTCTGGTCAGTGTGCAGGTGTCCTGAGGTATATTGTGTATATTGTTCCATACAGCTGGCTTACTGTGTGGACCACAGACAGGATACAGGCCCCCTGGGACTCCAGGCCACTGATTACAGGGCAGGGTCTGAGCATCAGGAAGATGAGACCAGACCACGCACCACAGCCCTGTGATGTTTCTATTACACACCTCCCGCTCACCTCCAGCAGTTCCCACTGACGGTCTGTGACACACACACTGGAGTTCCCCACACTGACTGGCTGAGACAGGGAAAGGGAGAGAGGGCTACAGCCCTTAGCGCTGGTGGTTAAGAGAGAGGGAGAGAGAGAGTGTGTGTGTTTGTGTCTGTGTGCAACTGTGTGCCTCTGTCTGACTGACTGTGTGCCTGTGCTCTGCTCTGCTCCTCACTCCGGGTGTATAACTACCTAGCAGTTCCTGACCCTGTCTCATTCAGGGCAGAGTGCCAAAATAAACCCATGAGGCCAGACATGCTGATTGGCTGACACCGACCAAACACAGCCTGTCTCCAGGTCCTGATCAGGAGGCTGTCTGGTGGCTATTGGGTTTCTGTCACCCGGCTATGGTGACGGGAGGGAGAGAGGGAGAAAGGCCGTGTGCACCCAGGCCGGGTTGGGCTGGGGTCCTGACAGTGTCAGTCAGGAGTCATGACCTCCAGAATGTAAGGACTGGGTCAGAACAAAAATACCTCTGTGTTGGGCCTGAACTCTGACCCTTCCACTCATCTCCACATTCACTGAGCAAAGAATGGGTGTCTTAGAGAAAGAAAATAGATGGAGAGAAAAGGGAAAGTATGCAGTCTGCCACACTACCACTTTGTAACTAGAGAGGTTATGAACAAGATAATTAGGGGATGCTAATAAGACAAGGCATGTGGGTTATTGGTAGAGGTGGGAATTCGGCTGAGAGAATGTTGTTGCACAAATTTGGTTAGTAACACTGTTGAAACATTAACAGTAGATGTCTAAGCTGATTAGATTTAGGTGGCCTAAGTCTGTCCTGAGATATACACGCCTCACAGGTCCTCAAATGGCAGCTTCATTAAATAGTACCCACAAAACACCAGTCTCAACGTCTACAGTGAAGAGGCGACTCCGGGATGCTGACCTAGGCAGAGTTGCAAAGAAAAAGCCATATCTCAAACTGGGCAATAAAAAGAAAAGATTAAGATGGGCAAAAGAACACAGACACTGGACTTTTTCTTTGCAACTCTGCCTAGGTCAGCATCCCGGAGGCGCCTCTTCACTGTTGGCGTTGAGACTGGTGTTTTGCGTGTACTATTTAATGAAGCTGCCAGTTGAGGACCTGTGAGGCGTCTGTTTCTCAAACTAGACACTCTAATGTATTTGTCCTCTTGCTCAGTTGTGCACCGGGGCCTCCCACTCCTCTTTCTATTCTGTTTAGAGCCAGTTTGCGCTGTTCTGTGCAGGGAGTAGTACACAGCGTTGTACAAGATCTTCAGTTTCTTGGCAATTTCTCGCATGGAATAGCCTTCATTTCTCAGAACAAGAATAGACTGATGAGTTTCAGAAGAAAGTTATTTGTTTCTGTCCATTTTGAGCCTGTAATTGAACCCACAATTGCTGATGCTCCAGATACTCAACTAGTCTCAAGAAGGCCAGTTTTTTTATTGCTTCTTTAATCAGCACAACAGTTTTCAGCTGTGCTAACATAATTGCAAAAGGGTTTTCTAATGATCAATTAGCCTTTTAAAATGATAAACTTGGATTAGCAAACACAACGTGCCATTGGAACACAGGACTGATGGTTGCTGATAATGGGCCTCTGTACGCCTATGTAGATATTCCATTAAAAATCAGCCATTTCCAGCTACAATTGCCATTTACAACATTAACAATGTCTACACTGTATTTCTGATCAATTTGATGTTATTTTAATGGGAAAAAATGGCTTTTCTTTTCGAAAACAAAGACATTTCTAAGTGACCCCAAACTTTTCAACGGTAGTATGTGTATATGTATATATATATATGTATATATATCTATCTCAGCAAAAAAAGAAACATAATCTCACTGTCAACTGCGTTTATTTTCAGCAAACTTAACATGTAAATATTTGTATGAACATAACAAGATTCAACAACTGAGACATAAACTGAACAAGTTCCACAGACATGTGACTAACAGATTTGAATAATGTGTCCCTGAACAAAGGTGGGGTCAAAATCAAAAGTAACAGTCAGTATCTGGTGTGGCCACCAGCTGCATTAAGTACTGCAGTGCATCTCCTCCTCATGGACTGCACCAGATTTGCCAGTTCTTGATGTGAGATGTTACCCCACTCTTCCACCAAGGCACCTGCAAGTTCCCGGACATTTCTGGGGGGAATGGCCCTAGCCCTCACCCTCCGATCCAACAGGTCCCAGACGTGCTCAATGAGATTGAGATCCGGGCTCTTCGCTGGCCATGGCAGAACACTGACATTCCTGTCTTGCAGGAAATCATGCACAGAACGAGCAGTATGGCTGGTGGCATTGTCATGCTGGAGGATGAGCCTGCAGGAAGGGTTCCACATGAGGGAGGAGGATGTATTTCCTGTAATGCACAGCTTTGAGATTGCCTGCAATGACAACAAGCTCAGTCCGATGATGCTGTGACACACCGCCCCAGACCATGACGGACCGTCCACCTCCAAATAGATCCCGCTCCAGAGTACAGGCCTCGGTGTAACGCTCATTCCTTCGACCATAAACGCGAATCCGACCATCACACCTGGTGAGACAAAACCGCGACTCGTCAGTGAAGAGCACTTTTTGCCAGTCCTGTCTGGTCCAGCGACGGTGGGTTTGTGCCCATAGGCGACGTTGTTGCCGGTGATGTCTGGTGAGGACCTGCCTTACAACAGGCCTACAAGCCCTCAGTCCAGCCTCTCTCAGCCAATTGCGGACAGTTTGAGCACTGATGGAGGGATTGTGCATTCCTGGTGTAACTCTGGCAGTTGTTGCAATCCTGTACTTGTCCCACAGGTGTGATGTTCAGATGTACCGATCCTGTGCAGGTGTTGTTACACGTGGTCTGCCACTGCGAGGACGATCAGCTGTCCGTCCTGTCTCCCTGTTGCGCTGTCTTAGGTGTCTCACAGTACGGACATTGCAAATGATTGCCCTGGCCACATATGCAGTCCTCATGCCTCCTTGCAGCATGCCTAAGGCACGTTCACGCAAATGAGCAGGGACCCTGGGCATCTTTCTTTTGGTGTTTTTCTGAGTCATTAGAATTGCCTCTTTAGTGTCCTAAGTTTTCATAACTGTGACCTTAATTGCCTACCGTCTGTAAACTGTTAGTGTCTTAACGACCATTCCACAGGTGCATGTTCATTAATTGTTTATGGTTCATTGAACAAGCATGGGAAACAGTGTTTTAAAGTTATTTAGATTTACACAAATTATCTTTGAAAGACACGGTCCTGAAAAAGGGACGTTTCTTTTTTTTGCTGAGTGAGGGAAAAAAGTATTTTATCCCCTGCTGATTTTGTACGTTTGCCCACTGACAAAGACATGATCAGTCTATAATTCTAATGGTAGGTTTATTTGAACAGTGAGAGACAGAATAACAACAAAAAAATCCTGAAAAACGCATGTCAGAAATGTTATAAATTGATTTGCATTTTAATGAGGGAAATAAGTATTTGACCCCTCTGCAAAACATGACTTTGGACTTGGTGGCAAAACCCTTGTTGAAAATCACAGAGGTCAGACGTTTCTTGTAGTTGGCCACCAGGTTTGCACACATCTCAGGAGGGATTTTGTTCCACTCCTCTTTGCAGATCTTCTCCAAGTCATTAAGGTTTCGAGGCTGAGGTTTGGCAACTCGAACCTTCAGCTCCCTCCACAGATTTTCTATGGGATTAAGGTCTGGAGACTGGCTAGGCCACTCCAGGACCTTAATGTGCTTCTTCTTGAGCCACTCCTTTGTTGCCTTGGCCATGTGTTTTGGGTCATTGTCATGCTGGAATACCCATCCACGACCCATTTTCAATGCCCTAGCTGTGGGAAGGAGGTTCTCACCCAAGATTTGACGATACATTGCCCCGTCCATCGTCCCTTTGATGCGGGGAAGTTGTCCTGTCCCCTTAGCAGAAAAACACCCCCAAAGCATAATGTTTCCACCTCCATGTTTGACGGTGGGGATGGTGTTCTTGGGGTCATAGGCAGCATTCCTCCTCCTCCAAACACGGCGAGTTGAGTTGATGCCAAATAGCTCGATTTTGGTCTCATCTGACCACAACACTTTCATTCAGATGTTCATTGGCAAACTTCAGACGGGCATGTTTATGTGCTTTCTTGAGCAGGGGGACCTTGCGGGCGCTGCAGGATTTCAGTCCTTCACGGCGTAGTGTGTTACCAATTGTTTTCTTGGTGACTATGGTCCCAGCTGCCTTGAGATCATTGACAAAATCCTCCCGTGTAGTTCTGGGCTGATTCCTCACCGTTCTCATGATCATTGCAACTCCACGAGGTGAGATCTTGCATGGAGCCCCAGGCCGAGGGAGATTGACAGTTATTTTGTGTTTCTTCCATTTGCGAATAATCGCACCAACTGTTGTCACCTTCTCACCAAGCTGCTTGGCGATGGTCTTGTAGCCCATTCCAGCCTTGTGTAGGTCTACAATCTTGTTCCTGACATCCTTGTAGAGCTGTTTGGTCTTGGCCATGGTGGAGAGTTTGGAATCTGATTGATTGATTGCTTCTGTGGCCAGGTGTCTTTTATACAGGTAACAAGCTGAGATTAGGAGCACTCCCTTGGAGCCAGAAATCTTTCTGATTTAGAGAGGGTCAAATACTTATTTCCCTCACTGTATATATACTACCAGTCAAAAGTTTGGACACACCTACTTATTCAATGGTTATTCTTAATTGTTTCTATTTTTTACATTGTAGAATAATAGTGAAAACTATGAAATAACACATATGGAATCATGTAGTAACCAGAGATTCTTCAAATAGCCACCCTTTGCCTTGATGACAGCTGTGCACACTCTTGGCATTCTCTCAACCAGCTTCATGAGGTAGTCACCTGGAAAGCATTTCAATTAACAGGTGTTCTTATTTCTTTCCTTCTTAATGTGTTTGAGCCAATCAGTTGTGTTGTGACAAGGTAAGGGGGGTATACAGAAGATAGCCCTATTTGGTAAAAGACCAAGTCCATATTATGGCAAGAACAGCTCAAATAAGCAAAGAGAAACGACAGTCCATCATTACTTTAAGACATGAAGGTCAGTCAATACGGAACATTTCAAGAACTTTTAAAGTTTCTTCAAGTGCAGTCACAAAAACCATCAAGCGCTATGATGAAACTGGCTCTCATGAGGACCGCCACAGGAATGGAAGACCCAGAGTTATCTCTGCTGCAGAAGATAAGTTCATTAGAGTTACCAGCCTCAGAAATTGCAGCCCAAATAAATGGTTCACAGGGTTCAAGTAACAGACACATCTCAACATCAACTGTTCAGAGGATACAGTGTGAATCAGGCCTTCATGGTCAAGTTGCTGCAAAGAAACCACTACTAAAGGACACCAATAAGAAGAAAATACTTGCTTGGGCCAAGAAACACGAGCAATGGACATTAGACAGGTGGAAATTTGTCCTTTGGTCTGGAGTCCAAATTTGAGAATTTTGGTTCCAACCGCCATGTCTTTGTGAGACATGGAGTGTGTGAACGGATTATCTCCGCATATGTATTTCCCACCATAAAGCATGGAGGAGGTGGTGTTATGGTGTGGGGGTGCTTTGCTGGTGACACTGTCTGTGATTTTATTTAGAATTCAAGGCACACTTAACCAGCATGGCTACCACAGCATTCTGCAGCGATACGCCATCCCATCTGGTTTGGGCTTAGTGGGACTATCATTTGTTTTTCAACAGGACAATGACCCAACACACCTCCAGGGTGTATAAGGTCTATTTTACCAAGAAGGAAAGTGATGGAGTGCTGCATCAGATTACCTGGCCTCCACAATCCCCCGACCTCAACCCAATTGAGATGGTTTGGGATGAGTCGGACCGCAGAGTGAAGGAAAAGCAGCCAATAAGTGCTCAGCATATGTGGGAACTCCTTCAAGACTGTTGGAAAAGCATTCAAGGTGAAGCTGGTTGAGAGAATGCCAAGAGTGTGCAAACCTGTCATCAAGGCAAAGGGTGGCTATTTGAAGAATCTCAAATAAAAAATATATTTTGATTTGTTTAACACTTTTTTTGGTTACTACATGATTCCATATGCGTTATCTGGACCCTTTCTTTCTAAAACTAGCCGCCGAAATTGTCGCAACCCCTATTACTAGTCTGTTCAACCTCTCTTTCATAACATCTGAGATCCCCAGAGATTGGAAAGCTGCCGCGGTCATCCCCCTCTTCAAAGGGGGTGACACTCTAGATCCAAACTGCTACAGACCTATATCCATCCTGCCCTGCCTTTCGAAAGTATTTGAAAGCCAAGTTAACAAACAGATCACCGACCATTTCGAATACCACCGTACCTTCTCCGCTATGCAATCCGGTTTCCGAGCTGGTCATGGGTGCACTTCAGCCACACTCAAGGTCCTAAACGATATTATAACCGCGATTGATAATAGACAGTACTGTGCAGCCGTCTTCATCGACCTGGCCAAGGCTTTCGACTCTGTCAACCACCGCATTCTTATTGGCAGACTAAATAGCCTTGGTTTCTCAAATGACTGCCTCGCCTGGTTCACCAACTACTTCTCAGATAGAGTTCAGTGTGTCAAATCGGAGGGCCTGTTGTCTGGACCTATGGCAGTCTCTATGGGGGTGCCACAGGGTTCAGTTATTGGGCCGACACTTTTCTCCGTTTATATCAATGATGTCGCTCTTGCTGCTGGTGACTCTCAGATCCACCTCTACGCAGACGACACCATTTTGTATACATCTGGCCCTTCATTGGACACTGTGTTAACAAACCTCCAAACGAGCTTCAATGCCATACAACACTCCTTCAGTAGCCTCCAACTGCTCTTAAACACTAGTAAAACTAAATGCATGCTTTTCAATCGAACGCTGCTGGCACCCGCCCACCCGACTAGAATCACCACTCTCGACGGGTCTGACCTAGAGTATGTGGACAACTACAAATACCTAGGTGTCTGGTTAGACTGTAAACTCTCCTTCCAGACTCACATTAAGAATCTCCAATCCAAAGTTAAATCTAGAATCGGCTTCCTATTTCGCAACAAAGCCTCCTTCACTCATGCTGCCAAACATGCCCTCGTAAAACGGACTATCCTACCGATCCTTGACTTCGGCGATGTCATTTACAAAATAGCCTCCAACACTCTACTCAGCAAACTGGATGTAGTCTATCACAGTGCCATCCGTTTTGTCTCCAAAGCCCCATACACTACCCACCACTGTGACCTGTACGCTCTTGTTGGCTGGTCCTCACTACATGTTCGTCGTCAAACCCACTGGCTCCAGGCCATCTATAAATCACTGCTAGGCAAATCCCCGCCTTATCTTAGCTCATTGGTCACCATAGCAGCACCCACCCGTAGTCTGCGCTCCAGCAGGTATATCTCACTGGTCATTCCCAAAGCCAACACCTCCTTTGGCCGCCATTCCTTCCAGTTCTCTGCTGCCAATGACTGGAACGAATTGCAAAAATCTCTGAAGCTGGAGACTCTTATCTCCCTCACTAACTTTAAGCATCAGTTGTCAGAGCACCTTACCGATCACTGCACCTGTACACAGCCCATCTGAAATTAGCCCACCCAACTACCTCATCCCTATATTGTTATTTATTTTGCTCTTTTGCACCCCAGTATCTCTATTTGCACATAATCTCTTGCACATCTAGCATTCCAGTGTTAATACTATTGTAATTATTTTGCACTATAGCCTATTTATTGCTTTACCTCCATAACTTGCTACATTTGCACCACTGTATATATATTTTCTGTTGTATTTTTGACTTTATGTTTTTTTACCCCATATGTAACTCTGTGTTGTTTTTATCGCACTGCTTTGCTTTATCTTGGCCAGGTCGCAGTTGTAAATGAGAACTTGTTCTCAACTGGCTTACCTGGTTAAATAAAGGTGAAATAAATAAAATAAAAAAATAAAATAAAAAATTTGATAGTTTTCTACTTCACTATTATTCTACAATGTAAAAAAATAAAGAAAAACCCTTGAATTAGTAGGTGTGTCCAAACTTTTGACTGGTAGTGTGTATGTATGTGTGTGTGTGTGTATATATATACACTGTTACTGCGGTGGACCTGTGAGATAGAACAGGGTGACTAAATGGTCCAAGGGGACAGGACTGTGTAGCAACATGCTTGTTTGTAAACACTGGTGTCACAAAGGGGGGTTGCAGTGCAGCTGCTGTAGGAAAAAACGATTTGTTGTGCTGTTTTGGGCTGGGGTCGGAACAGACGTTGGCCGATACCGGGTCCCCTAACACTGGTCACAGGCCTGGGCGATGAGGTCCCCCAAGCCAATTAAAACATTTCCGCCGTCGTCATGACGAGCACCACCTTGCACCATGCCTCAGCTGCCTTTCAGTGTTTCAATTAACTATGTGGCTTCTCAAGCTCATTAGTCTCTCTCTCTCTCTGTCTTTCTTTCTTCCTCCCGCCCGTGATGCTGTGTTTATTTTTGAACTAGTGTGTGGTCGGTTGTTTATGTTTGAACTAGTGTGTGGTCGGTTGTTTATGTTTGAACTAGTGTGTGGTCGGTTGTTTATGTTTGAACTAGTGTGTGGTCGGTTGTTTATGTTTGAACTAGTGTGTGGTCGGTTGTTTATGTTTGAACTAGTGTGTGGTCGGTTGTTTATGTTTGAACTAGTGTGTGGTCGGTTGTTTATGTTTGAACTAGTGTGTGGTCGGTTGCCATTTCCTCTCTGCTGCAGTGCCTTGGCAGGAAACAGACCCATTATCTCTGAGGCTAAAGCATAGAGATAGATAGAGGACTCATCTTTATATCTGTGCTATTATAGCATCTGTGACAGAATGGGCAGCACCATTGAGGCTACAACCCATAGGAATCCCCACCGAGTTGACTACTTTAAAATGGAGGAAGCATGGTGGAAGCCCTCAATGGCGCTGCCCATGCTAAAACGGCCTTTTGGTTTCTATCATTTCTATGGCCTAAAGTCATCAGCCAGACAGCACTAATGAAGCAGAGTGCAAAGCTAACCGGAAGCTGATGTGGTTTGAACCCCCATGGTGGGTTTAAGGGATCATCGACTTCCTTTAGTCTACAACACTCATGCTGCTGCCTGACTGAGAGACAGGTCCTTGTGCTTAATGCTGGTGTTTATCTGACCTACAGTATACCATCAGGACTCTACAGTGCGACCATTTTACTCGCATATGCGCCTAAATATTTTGCTGTGCGACCTGTATTTTTTTATTAGGAGCCCCAGAGCACCTAGAAAAACGTCACCCAGATGATAATTGTAGCAATCATTACTTCACTGTGCGGCAGCCCCTGAGTGCCATGGAGAAGACACTGAGCGCAGAATCATGACCGTCATGCTTGCACCATTACTACAAAGAAAACGACTTGTTACGTCAAATATATTTCATTGTGCTCCTAAATTTCTTTGTGTGCTCCTACATTTTTCAACTTAGGCGCACATGTGCTCCTTGTAATTAAAGGTCAGCGTTGAGCCCTGACCAGGAAATAAAGGTGGAAGACATGGGCTGGTCTACTGCGCCTCAGCCTTTTGGGCTTAAATGACCTTACCCCCAGTCTGCCTGCGTATCACATGAGATTGGTGGCACCTTAATTGGGGAGGACGGGCTTGTGGTAATGGCTGGAGCAGAATTATTTGAATCGTATCAAATACATCAAACACATGGTTTCCATGTATTTGATGCCATTCCATTTGCTCCGTTCCGGGCATTATTATGAGCCGTCCAACCCTCAGCAGCCTCCTGTGTTGCTTATGTAACATCTGCACAGAGGTTTCAACTCTATATTTGTCTGAGAGGATGGAAAAAGCTGTATTGAAAGTGAAAGGCCCAGCCCCACCCGTCTTCAAATGAAACGGCCAATGTGGCAGGTCCAGCTACTCAGTAATAAGAGGTGATTGGCAGGTAGAATTAACGCCGACTTTGGTCATGGTGCTGACCGAAGTGCACGCACACACACACACCACAACACATTAGAGGCTTGTATTTCACAGTGGCCATGGCAACCCAGGAGACGAACAGTAGGGTGAAAATCTGGCCCAACGTCAGTGTGGTGCTTGTAGGAGAAAGTGCTACATATGCAAACAAACACTCTCGTAATCTACCTGTACTCATAATAACGGCTACACTGCAGTCATCCATTTAGTTGCTTACTGTTAGAATTGCAGGTCCTGATCGTAATCTCTCAGAACCAGCTATTCTGTAAACACTGGCGAGAATCTCACAACATTAGGAACCACCCGTGTCCTTGGTTCTCCTGTTTGACGTCAATACTATTCATAATAATAATGTGATTAATACATGCTACTGAACGCAAGTGCCTGGAGAATACAGGCCTGTAGTGTGTGTGTGTGTGTCAGCTCTGTGACCAAAGCGAGGCCTAGTGGACTTTTTAGAGATCCATCACTCCACTCCATCCAATAAATTGAACAGAGTCATCATTATCATCAGATGGGCTTCACTTACGTCCTTCCCTCTGTCTAGTGCATATAAATGAACTAAACCAAACATTTGCTGTGTTACATTCTACCGCCCATGAAGTGTTAACTAAGGTATAGTGTAATGTGTTACATTCTACCGCCCATGAAGTGTTAACTAAGGTATAGTGTAATGTGCTACAGTCTACCGCCCATGAAGTGTTAACTAAGGTATAGTGTAATGTGTTACATTCTACTGCCCATAATGGGTTAACTAAGGTATAGTGTAATGTGCTACAGTCTACCACCCATAAAGGGTTAACTAAGGTATAGTGTAATGTGTTACAGTCTACCACCCATAAACGGTTAACTAAGATATAGTGTAATGTGTTACAGTCTACCACCCATAAAGGGTTAGCTAAGGTATAGTGCATGGCCTTTGTACTTATTCATAAAATTAATAAAGTCCCCTTGATATGGAGTTTCCTCCGGTTCTCATACATTTGTTTTGCATTTCCATTTCCATTCCCTGCACCACACTCACACCCAGCAGCATCCACTAGTCACAAACAAAATAAGAATACACTTCAATAAAACTTTGCTCTACTGACTAACATCAGTAACCTAACCAGACTATCATATCATATGGAGCAGTACGTCCTTACTCTACTGAGGCTTTGCTTACAGTTGCTTTCTCTGAGCAGGCCCTGATATCCTAATGCCAAGGGCACATCTTATCTTTAACTTGAACCAAAACACCAGATGTGCTCTGGAGGGAGATGCTACAAGCTATTTAGGTCAGAGGCATTGTGCTGTTTTATTTGTTTGTTTTTTAAGCTACTTTTGCTGCTTGCTTGAGTGATTTGAAATGTCAGGGAGTTCCATGCTATCATGGCTACAGTACAGTTTATTACTGTGCGTTGCCTTGAATTCATTTTGGCTTAAGGGACTATGAAGAGACCTTTAGTTGTATGCCTTGTGGAATATGAATGTCTGTCAGAGCTGTATGTTAGTTGATTGAATAGACAGTTTGTCTGGATCACTTCTAATTTTTTTCCCAATCTCCCCAGCAAACGGGGCATCCTAAGGATGTCCAGGGGACCATGACACAACCTCCAGACATTCCCGAGAATGTCCTAAGGACTCATTGTAGTTTGCAGGGTCTCCTCTACATTGAGCCAGGAAAAGTCAACATACATTTTGTTGACATTAGCTCTCTTGGAACATTGCAGGGCAGCTGTAGCTATACAATGTCTTTTATCTTTAGCACCTGACCACATTACCGGGCAGTAGTCAAGATAGGATAAAACTAGAGCCTGTAGGACTTGTTTGGTCAGTTGTGGTGTTAAGAATGCTGAGCATCTCCTTATCACAGACAGGCCTCTCCCCATCTTGACAACAATTGAATCAATATGCCTTGACCATGACAATGTCTATCTGGCCTACAGTATACCATGCAATAAAGGTAGGTGGGCTAATCTACTGCACCTCAGTTTATAGGGCTTAAATGGCGTCTAACCTGACCCCCAATCTGCCTGCCTATGTAACATCTGCACAGAGGTTTCAACTCTATATTTGTCTGATAAAGAAGATGGGAAAAGCTGTATTGAACGTGAAAGGCCCAGCCCCACCCCTACCCGTCTTTAAATGAAACGGCCCATGTGGCAGGTCCAGCTACCCAGTAATCAGAAGTGATTGGGGCTAGAATGAACGCCTCGCTTTGATCACAGTGCACACACACACACACACACACACACACACTAGGCACTTGCGTTCAGTAGCATGTATTAATCACATTATTATTATGAATAGTATTGACGTCAAACGGGAGAACCAAGGACACGGATGGTTTCTAATGTTGTGAGATTCTCGCTAGTGTTTACAGAACAACTGGTTCTGAGAGATTACGATCAGGACCTGCAGTTGTAACAGTAAGCAACCGTAACAAAATGGATGACTGCAGTGTAGCCATATGAGTACATGTTGTATGGATTGCTAAGGCATAAGAATATGAAAGTGTGTATTCTTAATTGATGTAGTTCTGTACCTGTCGATTAATGTTATGTATTATGTCATTTGATGTCGTTCTGTCCTTCAGCTGTAACGGTCTATTAACGTCATGTGTTGTGTCTATTAATGTCATGTGACCCCAGGAAGAGTAGCTACAGCCTTGGTTCTAGCTAATGGGGATCCTAATAAATACAGTACCTTGCCCTGGACAGCTTTAGCTGAGGTGCTTGGCCGACATGTGCACGCGCGCACACACACACACACACACACAGAGCTCTCCTGACAAGACTACATTTTTCCCGATATCTTTAATCTAGTTCACCTTTTTCACAGTGGCTTTTATCCACTTCAGTCAGATCATGACATGGTCAGTAAAGGCCTGGAGCTGAGAGAGAGCACGCTTAGAGTTGGGAGCGGGAAAGAGGATTGAGTGAGTGAGAGGGAAGGAAGAGAGCGCTGATCTGGGTTGTTTAACAGAGAGAGAGCTGACCTGGCCTGGATGTAGTGTAGTTTTGAGGGGATTACATGGAGGCTAAGCCTGGTCTACTCTGCAGGTGAGTGTATGATGAGATGCAGATATTGTGGTTTGGAGGATGATTTGGACCCATCAACCCTTTAGACTTATTGGTTCATGCTGTACAGTACAAGACTAGCTGTTTGAAAATGTCCTCAACCATGATGATTCACCAGTAGTGTGTTTGTGTGTCGTGACTCGTGTATGTGTGTGTTTGTAGGTACTGTGAAGAGATGGTGCCCCTAAACCCCTGTCTCAGACTGGTCAGTAACTGTGAACAGACCCTTTCCAGCCACACCTCCAGACGTCTCATCACCATGGAGAAGATCAAGGAACCAGAGGTGGGTGTCTGTCTGTCCTTCCATCCTGTGTGTGTGTGTATGCTTTTCCTTTTGTACTTGTCTACCCTGTGTGTGTGCATCTGGTCTGTGTGTGTGAATCTGGTCTGTGTGTGTGCATCTGGTCTGTGTGTGTGCATCTGGTCTGTGTGTCTGTGCTGTTATGAGCATGTGTATGCATTTGAGTGGAATGTCACCAATTTTGAAAAGGTAGATGGATCCCTTTGTGAATATGATTGCAACACCATATAATTGTTGCTCTGGTGTGCTTACTATTAATTACATACATGTATGTACAGAGTAAAGTACCCGTGTGTGCCACTGAATATGTTTGTGCCGTGTTTGTATGTACGAGCATGCACATATGTGTACTATGAGTGTTGTCTGTGTGTGTTCTTTAAACGTACACACGCGCAATATGACACAGTTACAGTTAAAGGGGATGTCGATGGTGCTTCCCTCGAGGTCTGCAGTAAACCTCAGCATCTGGCTATGATTGGCTTGTTTTATATACTGCACTTAAATGACTTAATCACACATTTTATGGAAAATAACCCATCTTTGGATTTGACAACCTCTTCACTTCCAAACCCCAAATTGTTCCCATAAAGGCAAGCCCTGCGCCAATCACTGCGTGTACACCCACACACACACACACACACACACTGGCATCTGTCTCTGACTCCCAGTGCCCCAAACCTGGAACATATATCTCATAGCATGCTACTATATATAGATAAACAGTTCCTTCAGAAAGTATTCATACCACTTGACTTATTACAGCCTGAATTCAAAATGGATTAAATAGATTTTTCTTCTCAACCATCTACATAAATATCTAATTTACATAAGTATTCACACCTGTTTGCAATGACACTCCAAATTGAGCTCAGGTGCATCCAATTTCCTTTGATCATCCTTGAAATGTCACTACAACCTGTGGCCAATTAAATTGTTTGGACATGATTTAGAAAGAAACACACCTGTTTATATAAGGTCCCACAGTTGACGGTGCATGTTAGAGCAGAAACTATACCATATAGTCCAAGGAACTGTCCGTAGATCTCCGAGATGAGGCATATACCTGGGGAAGGGTATAAAACTATTTCTAGAGTGTTGAATTTTCCAAGAGCACAGTGGTCTCCATCATTGGGAAATTGAAAAAATATGGAACTACCCAGACTCTGCCTAGAGCTGGCTGTCCGACCAAACTGAGCAACCGGGCAAGAAGGACCTTGGTCAGGGAGGTGACCAAGAACCCAATGACCACTCTGACCGAACTACAGAGTTCCTTGGCGAAGATGGGAGAACATGCCAAAAGGACAACAGTCTCTACAGCACTTTAACAATCTGGTCTTTATGGGAGAGTGGCCAGATGGAAGCCACTCCTGAGAAAATGGCACATGACTGCACGCCTGGAGTTTGCAAAAAGGCACGTGAAATACTGAGAGCATAAGGCAAAAGATTTTAGTGGTCTGATGAGACAAGAATTGAACTCTTTGGCCTGAATGCAAAGCGCTATGTCTGGAGAAAACCAGGCACAGCTCATCGCCCGTCTAACACCATCCCCTACCATGCTATGGGGATGCTTTTCAGCGGCAGGGACTGTGAGACAGGTAAGGATAGAGGGAACAATGAATGGTGCCAAATACAGGCAAATCCTTGATGAAAACGTGCAAATGTGCAAACGACCTTAAACTGGGGCGAAGATGTACGTTCCAACAGGACAGTGACCCCAAGCATACAGCTAAAGCAATGCTTCAGAACAAGTCCTTGAGTGGCCCAGCCAAATCCCAGACTTGAATCCCATTGAAAATCTGTGGAAAGACACATCTAACTTAACAGAGCTTGAGAAAATCTTCAACAAGAAAATCCCCAAATCCAAATGTGTAAAGCTGATGCAGACATACCCAAGACGACTCAAAGCTGCAATCGCCGCCAAAGGTGCTTCTACAAAGTATTGACTCAGGGGTGTGAATGCTTATGTAAATGAGATATTTCTGTATTTCATTTTCAATAAATTAGCAACATTTTCTAAAAACATGTTTTCACTTTGTCATTATGGGGTATTGTGTGTATGATGGGTCAGAAAAATAAATCCGGCTGTAACACAACAAAATGTGGAATAAGTCAAGGGGTATGAATACTTTCTGAAGGTGCTGTATACAGTGGGGTCTGAAATTATTAACACCCTTGATAAAGATGAGCAATAATGACTGTATAAAATAAATTATTCAAATACTGAGCTATATTGTATGCAAAAAAATTAAATAAAGGAAATTATATTATTTTATACTAGTGCATGCAATTGCTGAGAGAAATAGATTTTGTTTAACAAGTTAGAGGATCAAAGATCATACCCCAAATACATGCTAACCTCCCATTATATTAGTAATGGTGAGAGGTTAGCATGTCTTGGGGGTATGGTCTTTGACCCTCTAACTTTCTCACTCATCATTATTCACAATTCATTCAGGATTATCCGTAATCATGGTAGCATCCACATTGTTGTAGAAGTGTTTAGAAACATATTCTATTCTTATTTACAATAAGTGACTCTAAAAAGACACAATATATTATTTACTATTCATTTCTATTGTGCACAAAATAATCTGAAAAAACCAAAACTAACTGCAAATGCATCTAACAAGTTTGTAGAGTATTTGAATTATTTATTTTATACAGTCATTATTTTTTATCAAGGGTGTCAATTTCGGACCCCACTGTTTTATCACATTTCCATAGTCTCCTCCTGGCAGGCTGTATCCAGCAGTGCTGCTCAACCCAGTCTTTTCAAAGGCTTCTGCTTCAGAGGCTGAAGTGGTAAGAATCAAATCAAGATCTCCCCGTCCTCCATATGTTGTGATTTGATCTTGGCTCAAATTTCAGTCTAAAACTGAAATGGCTATTTATGCAATCAGAGGTAAGGATTCGGAGTAGCTAGAAAGCTAGAGAATGTAAGCTACCATTAATATTGAGATCAAATCAATTGGTCGCATACACAGTTTAGCAGATGTTATAGCGGGTGCATCGAAATGCTTATGTTACTAGCGCCTAACAATTCAGTACAATGTCAAACAAGTACACAAATAATTAAAATGTACATGCTGTTTCTCTCTCAGGCTGATACAGCGAGACTCATCCATGCTTTTATTACAAGCAGGTTTGGACTACTGTAATGCTCCTCTGACCAGACGAAGAGCACACATTACACCGGTTTTAAATTCTCTGCACTGGCTGCCTGTGAGTTTTAGAATAAATACTAAGATTATTCTATTGGTTCTTAAATCAATTCATGATTGTGCACCCCAAATTCATGTCAGACATGCTTTTTAGTTATGTACCCAGTAGGTCCCTCAGGTCCTCTGGTGCTGGCCTTTTAACTGTCCCAAAGCTTAGGACCAAGACTATGCCCCCAGCCTCTGGAATAGCCTGCCAGAGCAACCCAAATAGCACTGTAACAGTAATCCAAATGTAATCTATATGTATATACACCGGAACAATTTACACAAGATGTACTAAGAATGATATGTACAACTGTAGATATATTAGTGAGCTATGTCAATAATCCAGGATTTTAATAAATATGCTGTGTGTATAAACAGAGTAACTAAATACAAAGTACAGTAGTATAATTATTAGAATGAGCTATGTCAGGAATACAGTATTTAAATACTCAGTGTGAAATGGGAAGTGTCCAGTGGTTCAATGTCTATGACATGGGACAGCAGCGTTGGGTGTGTGTGAGAGTTTGCTGTGTCAGTTTGTGTGAATTTAACTGCTTCCATTCAAACGTGATGGTTGTTTTTAACTCATACCACAGAGCACTTTGAAGTTATTAGTTAGTTGATGTGCTTTCCTATTCTGTGTTGAATGGTTTGGTGTATGGTAGTGTTGGGAAATGTTCAGACTTGAGACAGGTGTGTGAGCTCTCGGCCTATCAATGCCTACCAGGTAGAAAAGATAACCTGGAAAACTTTGACCCTCTGTGGTTATTGAATAGCCCTGCTCTATGGTACCTAAGGAAGTATTAGGAGCTTCATATCTGGGGATGCTCTTAAAGCTCTTGGATGTGGTGGAGACTGAAGGAAACCATCTCTAGGTCCAGGACAGGTTGCCTGGCAGCGGTAACCAGGGCCGACAGAGAGAGGTGGTGTTGACGAATGGCAGGCCGGCGGTGGAGTCATCCCTTCTAGCTCTCTGCATCCCGACACCTCGTTACTCCTCATCCCTCTCTCCATCCCTCCCGCTCCATCCAACTGTCCGTCCGCCCCGACACTTTCTTGCCTGCTGGCCTGCCAAACACTGCCTAACTAGCTGGCCAAAGCCCCAACCCAGGAAAATATGATGAACTTAACACTCTGTTAACGTTTATTATTGTTACACTGAGCTTGTGATGGCAAGGAGGTATACAAGGTGATAATTTTATCCTGTGGTTGTTTGGTTAGTTTAATGGGATACCTGGCAGAGGTCTGATATCATCTGGTTTCTTTCTTCCTTCGCCTGTGTTCAAAGGCATTTTTATTACGCTAATTTTGTTTACTTAACCGATGTTGCAGGTGAATTGGTTCCACTTTGTGAAGGCAAACCCTCACACTATTTTCTCGCAAATTTAAGAGGTATAATTGTGCTAAGAAAACTTTCTGTCGTTGGTATATGGAGCTGAATTGTCTTTTCTCTCTCTGTAGGAGACCGATGCGCTGGCCCACCTGTCAGACCCTCACTTTAGCCCGTACCAAGGCCACAACGCCTTCAGGGAAAAGTACTTCAGCGGCATCAGCAAGAGGACATTGACAGGAAAGGAGGAGACCAACAAGATGGCCGCCAACGGTGGGGAGTGATGTAAGGATCACAGGAAGGCCCAATCCCAAATGGACCCCTAAGCCAGTATGCAATTGTGGAGAGGATTTGACAGGTGCAATCAATATGGTAGTAACTCCACCTTGTTTGATAGGCTAGGTGGAAGTTTCACCATATTGCATATGCAAATCAAATCCTCACAGATCTGCACAAGTGCATTAGGTGAAGGTTCTAGGGGTACATTTGGGATTGGGCCGATACCTGCCTATGGTTTACAATGGACTCCATGGGGACATAGGGCTCCTTGTTTTAAATGTCTCATTTTCTATTCAAATATGTTTTTTTTATTGTTTGATGTTTATTGCCCTTTGTGTAATGAGTGTGAATTGTGAACGAATAAACACCATATTCAAAGATGTTTTATTTATTTATTGGATGCAGGAGATCGAAGGGCTCTCAATGTTCTACATCTTTCTGTGTTATTTTTAGTCTTATCCCAGCAACCACATTATCAGATTTTATCCAAGAGGGCCCTAAGTGTCCAGAGAAAACTGGCAGCTGTATCCATGTACCAGAGTGCATTTAGATACGTTTGGCAGTATCCCTGCAAGATTCCAGATGAGACAAGGGACGAACTTGTTTCACACAAGTCCATTTCTCAAGCTTTTATATCCAGACATTATAAGAAACTAACGGTTCCTTATTGTGAAGACACTCAGAATAACAGTTTCTGAAGTGCTAGCCATGGTTCGTTTGTTGTTTTGCCATCACTGGCAGAATCTGGGACCTGCTCAACTGTGTTCTTTTGGTGAAGGTGTTGTTTATCTAGCTCTGAGAAGTGATGCCATCATCTTGGCCACCCTGCATGGTCCAAACCTCAGGGGTGTTGTGTGAAGTGATGTTTGTGTGACTGAAGGAAATAACTTTAGTGGAGGGGGTGGTGGTGGGGTGGGGGGGGCGTGCTTTTGAGGACTGTGGGTACGTCCTATACTGTATAGTGCTCTACTTTTGACCAGAGCCCTATGGGCGTCTATATAGGAAATAGGATGCCATTTGGGACGCAGCCTGTGTCATACCAGTCTACCTTCGACAATATGGATAGAGTGAGAAGCAACCTAACTGTCTGTAGTTTCTGTCAGAAATCTAGACTCCGTCACAGCTGAAAAAGGGAGGAATAGCTTTAGATTAGGTTAATTTTACCTAGCCTCAGCGATCAGGCTGGTTCCACCAGGCTAATTTGTCAAATCTGATTGACCTCTTTCAAAGGGTTAAGCAACCATCAAAACATGGTAATGAAAAGTCATGGAATTTTTAAATGGTGTTTTCCAGGCCTGGAAAAGTTTTTGAAAAGTCATGGAAATGTATTTCATAATTTCTGTTAATGTAATTTATTTAGGCACAGTTTTTAGATATTTTATCAATAAAAAATAAATATCAGCCAGGATCGTAATGACACTTTAGCGCGTCTGTATTTGCGCGTATCACCTGCATGTTCAATGCAACCAAATGTAAATCCAAATTATTATTTGTGAATCGCGAACAGTAATTTTAGAAAAATATATTAGATGTAGCCTTTCTTTTGGATTATGTGGCTTCAAAACTTGTTTTGTAGATACTTCCAGTTGATTTGGGCATTCAGTGTATGGGACATTGCAACTCAATAGATGCTAGTCAGCAGGGGCAGACTGGGACCAGAAATCGTCCCTTGCATTGGTAACACATCGGGCAATTTTTTTCCATGAGGCCCCCACACTGGCCCATTTTTTTCCCCCTTGAGGCCCCCATTATTAGTCAGATAATGACAATTTTTTGGAGAAAAAAACAAAAGTTAGGCAGGCCCAGTAAGCTAAAAATGGACCAGCCCATCTGGCATTTCGGGCAAATGTCGGCCCCTGCTAGTCAGCCTACAAAGTAAACACTTCTAAGGTAGTAATATAAATATGACTAAACTAGAAAAGGTACTTTCCTGAAGAAAATTTGTGGACTTGCATCAGCTGAATAAAAATATTTGTAGCCTATCATAGCCATTTGCTCTTTGATATATTAAATTAGTGAATTATTTCAAAAGGCTTTTATTCCAGTCCCCCTCTAACAAACCACGTTTTAGAAATTAGCTGCTCAACCGGATCTTGATAAACTGGCTCTGATGTGTTTGAACAGGGCTTGATCAAATGCCTGCACACTCCAGACTGAGGGTTGACCACATGTGTTTTATGCAGTTGCCTAACAGGTATTTTACTTTGTGGGGGTTAAGTGCCTTGCACAACTACAGGAGATGGTAAATGGGATCAGAGAGCAGCCTCCCAGTGTCAATACCACATTACGCTTACTTTTTTATACAATATGTACATAGAGACACCGTTCGAGACAAGTTTGGTTAAAAGTCATGGAAAAGTCATGAAATTCCTGTCAAAATGAGTATGAACCACAGGAGGCTGCTGAGGGGAGGACAGCTCATAATAGTGACCTGAACGGCGCAAATGGAACGGCATCAAACACATGTAAACCATGTGTTTGATGTTTTTGATACCATTCCACCTATTCCGCTCCAGCCATTACCATGAGCCCATCCTCCCCAATTAAGGTGCCACCAACCTCCTGGGTATGAACCCTGTTATTACTATACCATAAATCAATCAGGGATCTTATTTTGTGCAGGGGCTTGGTTGGCACCTTCCTGTAATAAAGATATAATACTATTACCCTGTCTGTTGGTGAACTGTGACCTTTGAACTGAGAGAGATGAATAAACCCATGACCTGAGAGGCTGTGCTCTCTCAGTGCTGGTGGTAAGGTGGAGGCCAAGTGTCTAGGGACTAGGGGTTGTTTCTGGACAGGGCCTGTCAGTGTGTTGGGCTGAAATAACATTACTCTGGAGCCCTGAGAGTGGCATTTTGAGGGCAGCATCAGTCCACTGACCAACCTCTAGTCCAGTAGGAAACCTGTTGTTAATCTGTTTCCAAGGTGACAGAGGGTCATGCTTGTTTATTTTATGTTTTTCAATGATGTGTTGATTTGTACTATAGCACTGTTGTCATGCTATGTGCCCGAGTACCTCTAATGGTGGTAGAATCCATATAAAAGGCCCAGTTGTAAAACATTCACCTGATACATCATTACATTTTAGTGTTTACACAGCGGAAGTGCAACAGGAAGTTCACTCCAGGGAACGAGACATTTCATTGGTTATGAGTATGATGCCTGTCAACCCAGTAAAATACACATTTACTAGAGCTATGAACCCAATGAGACTGTATTGAAGTCAGTTGAAGTTTTAATGAGACACTTGAAGACTTAGGAAAACTCCTCAGATTGAAGTGTTTCTTTATACTCGGAAATGAAAGTATGTAATAATCAGTCAGTGAACTCCTTCCCTGTGTTTTTAAATGAGGTGTGTTGTTTAAATAGGGTGCCCACGAACAGCCCTTTAAACTAGTAAAGAGCAAAAACAATAACAGCAACACGTCTCCATTTCACAGCAGGGCTATTTTGGATGGAAGGAGGAAGGTGATGAGCACTTGTTTATGTGATAGAGATGGTGGCAAAAAATACAGCCCTGGTTGGTGGGATGGTTGGTTGGTATACCCAGACAAAAGAGGACATGTTTAGATGAGTGAGGCACTCTCAGTCAGCCCAGGCCCAGACCAAATAACAGGGCGCCCCCACCTTTCTACCCCACTGCAGTTAGTCAGCAGCTTTCTGTGTTTACATGTGGCTGGGTCATTTTTTATCTCCAAAGCCTGCTTAGAGACCATTTATATACTTTACTCCTCAACCTGTTTATCAGCGGGGTTCAGCTGTGCCCATAAAATGTATAATTCCCCCCAATTTCCCCAGAGGAAAAAGGGCAAAAACATGATCACACGATCGTTGTTTGCATCGTTTGTGGTGCATATCATTTAGATTTCCCAACATGCCTTGGCCCATCAGGGGAAACTCTACCCTACCACACGACACACAGACCTTCCATCTTCCCTCTATCCCACCAACCTCCTCCTCACCCCTTCATCACGTGTAAACAAACAATTCCTATGAAGAAACAGAAGAGCTCTTCTGGCTTGTTATTTTTACTGGTCTCTCCATGGAGTGTTGCCACCATGTAGTGAGAAAAAGTTTACTCAGAAACTTCCAGTGTGTGGCTGGAGACTATAATTAGGAGGGGGTTCCTTCTTCCTTCAGACGTGTAGTGTACACACACACTCTCGCTCTCACTCTCACTCTCTCTCTCTAATGCTGTCCAGACACAAGTAGATACAGGGTTGTTCCACCTCAAAAAGAACAGAAAATAGGATTTCAACACACACCATATCAGAATCGTTTCTGTTGTTAGAAATGGATAAGATTATCGTTCCTTCAACATTATTTTGTTGAAATATAATTTGAAATTAAGCTAACTGATTGCACCCAAATTGGCCATTTTTATTTGTATGGTTCATATAATTTTCAATAAATATAGTACCTAACATCCGATTTGGACCAGACTTTTTTCTAACAATGAGTTAGACATGAGGAATCCAAAGAAATGGTCAAATGCCACCCACGGACCCCCCACAACCCACGCCATCCCACCCCAACAACGGGTACAGTGGGGAGAACAAGTATTTGATACACTGCCGATTTTGCAGGTTTTCCTACTTACAAAGCATGTAGAGGTCTGTAATTTTTATCATAGGTACACTTCAACTGTGAGAGACGGAATCTAAAACAACAATCCAGAAAATCACATTGTATGATTTTTAAGTAATTAATTTGCATTTTATTGCATGACATAAGTATTTGATACATCAGAAAAGCAGAACTTAATATTTGGTACAGAAACCTTTGTTTGCAATTATAGAGATCATACGTTTCCTGTAGGTCTTGACCAGGTTTGCACACACTGCAGCAGGGATTTTGGCCCACTCCTCCATACAGACCTTCTCCAGATCCTTCAGGTTTCGGGGCTGTCGCTGGGCAATACGGACTTTCAGCTCCCTCCAAAGATTTTCTATTGGGTTCAGGTCTGGAGACTGGCTAGGCCACTCCAGGTCCTTGAGATGCTTCTTACGGAGCCACTCCTTAGTTGCCCTGGCTGTGTGTTTCGGGTCGTTGTCATGCTGGAAGACCCAGTCACGACCCATCTTCAATGCTCTTACTGAGGGTAGGAGGTTGTTGGCCAAGATCTCGCGATACATGGCCCCATCCATCCTCCCCTCAATACGGTGCAGTCGTCCTGTCCCCTTTGCAGAAAAGCATCCCCAAAGAATGATGTTTCCACCTCCATGCTTCACGGTTGGGATGGTGTTCTTGGGGTTGTACTCATCCTTCTTCTTCCTCCAAACACGACACCAGGTCCTGGCGTGTAGTTCTGGGCTGATCCCTCACCTTCCTCATGATCATTGATGCCCCACGAGGTGAGATCTTGCATGGAGCCCCAGACCGAAGGTGATTGACCGTCATCTTGAACTTCTTCCATTTTCTAATAATTGCGCCAACAGTTGTTGCCTTCTCACCAAGCTGCTTGCCTATTGTCCTGTAGCCCATCCGCCCATCCCAGCCTTGTGCAGGTCTACAATTTTATCACTGATGTCCTTACACAGCTCTCTGGTCTTGGCCATTGTGGAGAGGTTGGAGTCTGTTTGATTGAGTGTGTGGACAGGTGTCTTTTATACAGGTAACGAGTTCAAACAGGTGCAGTTAATACAGGTAATGAGTGGAGAACAGGAGGGCTTCTTAAACAAAAACTAACAGGTCTGTGAGAGCCGGAATTCTTACTGGTTGGTAGGTGATCAAATACTTATGTCATGCAATAAAATGCAGGACCTGGTCAATGACCTGAAGAGAGCTGGGACCACAGTCTCAAAGAAAACCATTAGTAACACACTATGCCGTCATGGATTAAAATCCTGCAGCGCACGCAAGGTCCCCCTGCTCAAGCCAGCGCATGTCCAGGCCCGTCTGAAGTTTGCCAATGACCATCTGGATGATCCAGAGGAGGAATGGGAGAAGGTCATGTGGTCTGATGAGACAAAAATAGAGCTTTTTCGTCTAAACTCCCCTCGCCGTGTTTGGAGGAAGAAGAAGGATGAGTACAACCCCAAGAACACCATCCCAACCGTGAAGCATGGAGGTGGAAACATCATTCTTTGGGGATGCTTTTCTGCAAAGGGGACAGGACGACTGCACCGTATTGAGGGGAGGATGGATGGGGCCATGTATCGCGAGATCTTGGCCAACAACCTCCTACCCTCAGTAAGAGCATTGAAGATGGGTCGTGGCTGGGTTTTCTAGCATGACAACGACCCGAAACACACAGCCAGGGCAACTAAGGAGTGGCTCCGTAAGAAGCATCTCAAGGACCTGGAGTGGCCTAGCCAGTCTCCAGACCTGAACCCAATAGAAAATCTTTGGAGGGAGCTGAAAGTCCGTATTGCCCAGCGACAGCCCCGAAACCTGAAGGATCTGGAGTAGGTCTGTATGGAGGAGTGGGCCAAAATCCCTGCTGCAGTGTGTGCAAACCTGGTCAAGACCTACAGGAAACGTATGATCTCTATAATTGCAAACAAAGGTTTCTGTACCAAATATTAAGTTCTGCTTTTCTGATGTATCAAATACTTATGTCATGCAATAAAATGCAAATTAATTACTTAAAAATCATACAATGTGATTTTCTGGATTGTTGTTTTAGATTCCGTCTCTCACAGTTGAAGTGTACCTATGGTAAAAATTACAGACCTCTACATGCTTTGTAAGTAGGAAAACCTGCAAAATCGGCAGTGTATCAAATACTTGTTCTCCCCACTGTATATACAGTTGAAGTCGGAAGTTTACATACACCTTAACCAAATACATTTAAGCTCAGTTTTTCACAATTCCTAACATTTAATCCTAGTACAAATTCCCTGTCTTAGGTCAGTTAGGATCACCACTTTATTTTAAGATTGTGATATGTTAGAATAATAGTAGAGAGAATGATTTATTTCAGCTTTTATTTCTTTCATCACATTCCCAGTGGGTCAGAAGTTTACATACACTCAATTAGTATTTGGTAGCATTGCCTTTAAATTGTTCCCACAATAAGTTGGGTGAATTTTGGCCCATTCCTCCTGACAGAGCTGGTTTAACTGAGTCAGGTTTGTAGGCCTCCTTGCTCGCACATGCTTTTTCAGTTCTGCCCACACATTTTCTATAGGATTGAGGTCAGGGCTTTGTGATGGCCACTCCAATACCTTGACTTTGTTGTCCTTAAGCCATTTTGCCACAACTTTGGAAGTATGCTTGGGGTCATTGTCCATTTGGAAGACCATTTGCGACCAAGCTTTAACTTCCTGACTGATGTCTTGAGATGTTGCTTCAATATATCCACATAATTTTCCTTCCTCATGATGCCATCTATTTTGTGAAGTGCACCAGTCCCTCCTGCAGCAAAGTACCCCCACAGCATGAGGCTGCTACCCCCTTGCTTCACGGTAGGGATGGTGTTCTTCGGCTTGCAAGCAACCCCCTTTTTCCTCCAAACATAACGATGGACATTATGGCCAAACAGTTCTATTTTTGTTTCATCAGACCAGAGGACATTTCTCCAAAAAGTACGATCTTTGTCCCCATGTGCAGTTGCAAACCGTAGTCTGGCTTTTTTATGGCAGTTTTGGAGCAGTGGCTTCTTCCTTGCTGAGCGGCCTTTCAGGTTATGTCGATATAGGACTCGTTTTACTGTGGATATACTTTTGTACCTGTTTCCTCCAGCATCTTCACAAGGTACTTTGCTGTTGTTCTGGGATTCATTTGCACTTTTAGCACCAAAGTACGTACATCTCTAGGAGACAGAACGCGTCTCCTTCCTGAGTTGTATGACGGCTGCGTGGTCCCATGGTGTTTATACTTGGAACTATTGTTTGTACAGATGAATGTGGTACCTCAAGGCATTTGGAAATTGCTCCCAAGGATGAACCAGACTTGTGGAGGTCTACCATTTTTTTCTGAGGTCTTGGCTGATTTATTTAGATTTTCCCATGATGTCAAGCAAAGAGGCACTGCGTTTGAAGGTAGGCCTTGAAATACATCCACAGGTACACCTCCAATTGACTCAAATGATGTCAATTAGCCTATCAGAAGCTTCTAAAGCCATGACATAATTTTCAGGAATTTTCCAAGCTGTTTAAAGGCACAGTCAACTTAATGTATGTAAACATCTGACCCACTGGAATTGTGATACAGTGAATTATAAGTGAAATAATCTGTCTGTAAACAATTGTTGGAAAAATTACTTGTGTCATGCACAAAGTAGATGTCCTAACCGACTTGCCAAAACTATAGTTTGTTAACAAGAAACTTGTGGAGTGGTTGAAAAACTAGTTTTAATGACTCCAACCTAAGTGTATGTAAACTTCCGACTTCAACTGTACTATCAGTTCTCTTTGTTTGACAAGTAGTTTGGCGCTGCAACACGGAGTATTGTTTCTTCATCCTATGTAATGTATTTTTGTATTTGTATATATTAAAGATCCCCATTTTCACGGAATTTGGTGATTTTTTTTCCCCTGTTCAGAGAGATTAGTAATTGACATTGTTGGGTTTATGTTCCATTCTACATCCTGATATTGCCAGGTTTTGACCACTAGATGGTGCTGTTTCTGCTATTAGGTGATTATGTTTTAAAGAGCACGAAGATGCTAATATAGGTACCATTGACTTGCATTGAATTTGTGCCACAAATGCTAATAAGATTGCATTTGAAACAGTGGCCAGGTAAACAAAAACAAAGTTTCTGTCATACCTGATCCATAGACTGCTAACAGGTTAAGAAAACCAAAATGCAATACTCTGACCTGCAGCTCCATAATACTTGTAATTATTGAATATTATATGAATCCTATAAATAAAAATTGCCAATTTGGGTGCAATCAATTAGCTTAATTTCTCAGAGATCAAATTATATTTCAACAAAATAATGTTTCTGGAATGCTTAACTTGTGTTTCTAACTACAGAAACTATTGTGCGTGTCATGTCTTGCTGAAATGACATGGAACGACCCTACAGTGGATTTAGACCAGAAGGGAATTTTGTGTCTTCACTCTTCTTGCATACAGTCATATAATTGTTGTGCACATTGTTTATTGTTAATAGATGATTGTGTTGGTTGTGGTGATTCAATATCTGTACTGTCTGCCACTGAGTCCTTTAAAATGTGATAATTTGCAGGATACTGAGGGATTGTCTATCTAACCTTATGGAGATATTGTTGGAGTGGCAGACAACACTTAAAGGTCAAAGGTACTACCATTAAAAGTCACATAAGCTGCTACCCTGTGAGACCAGAATGTCTAGCTTCCATGCCATCAAATCAGTCATGGCATCTCCTCTGCATCCCTAGTTCCTGGAGATCTGACTGCTAGCCTGGGGAGGGGATGGGAGCTAGCCGCCCTACCAGGCCCGCTGTTCCAGAACACTGCTTACTCCTGATTACTTTCTCCAGCGTGTGAAAGTGCCCTCCAAACTGCTGAGTCAGGCTAGGTAACCAGACCGTGATTAGCATCATTAGCCAGCAGGCGAGAGAAGTAGGAGGAGGTAGAGAAGTAGGAGGAGGAGTGTCATCACCCCCCCCCCCCCCCAGAGATTTAGGGTCCAGGTCCAGGGAGAAGAAGACATTCATCATGGTGATGTCTCTAGCCTGGTCAGATAGATTGTCCCACATCTGTTTGTTGTTGACTGATGACATGTGTTGGGGGAGAGAGAGAGGTGTTGGGTTGGCTGTAACACAAGGCATCGAACACTCACAAACACACATACAATGACACTATATTTTTGGCCAGTGAATGTATTTTCATTGCGCATGTTGGAATGGGTTTGATTGAGCATATGTGGTGCAGGTGTAGTGCACCTGTCCCAAGCCAGAAGAGTTAGCAGCACACACACCTCTACCTTCTGCCCCCAGGTCACCCCAATGCCCCCTCCACCCCACCTCGACCTGGCCCCCCCTTCCTCTACCCTCCTCTGGCAGTCAGCTGTGGAGCCATAAATCACTGCAGGAGACCATGGCTTGTCTTTATACAGCTGTGTGAAACTAAAACCACTGGAGGCTACTGCCTCAACATCAAGGACAGGCTACAGCTCTCAAACTATCTGTCTAACCTACTAGTAAATGAGTAAATGAGAACTGTCTATTCTTTTAAAAAAGAAACCACTAGGTGACAGCCTTGAGTAAAGGATACACTAACCCACATATCCTGTTGTATCGTGGATAGCCTAGATGAGTTGCTTCTGAGAAAAGTCAGTTGAACACACGCCATGCTGTTAAATATACACGCCTGGACGTGGAGCGGGTCAGTGACCTGGAAGTAGAAGAGGGCACTGACCGCCCTGTCACCAAACTCATGCCCCACACCCCCCTTCCCTCAGTGCCTTTTATTCTTATCAAGGCCTAGGGTGCATCCCAACTGGCACCCTATATCCGTTATAGTATGCTGTAAACAGGGCCCATAAGGAAATAGGGTCTACTATAGGGAAAAATCAGTTTGTTAACCTGGTTCAACCTCAACAATATGTAATTACACAACTATTAAAAAGCTAATCACTGCCATTATACAACTGTAGCCCCTGCATATGGAAGATGAGACAGTGGAAAGATCATTCAATGGCCCCTATGCTCACCCTATTAAAGACTGCATTCATTCCTGTCTGGTAATTTGCATGCAATGTGTTAATTGGGTAGTCACTTTATTTGACAGGTTTCTACAAAGAAATTGTCATGAACAGAGCAACTGAGAGCAGAACCAGAGTGAAGTGGAGGGTGAGCTCAGCTAGGGATGGGGTTGGAGAGAGAAAGAGAAAATGGGGAGAGAGTGATGTAGAAAGAGAGAGATAAGGATAGTGGGGAGAGAAGGAAGGGAGTGATGTAGAAAGAGAGAGATAAGGATAGGGGGAGAGATGGAAGGGAGTGATGTAGAAAGAGTGAGATAAGGATAGGGGGAGAGATGGAAGGGAGTGATGTAGAAAGAGAGAGATAAGGATAGGGGGAGAGATGGAAGGGAGTGATGTAGAAAGAGCGAGATAAGGAGAGAAATGGAGAGAGATAAGAATGGGGGAGAGAAGGGACAGAGTGATGTGGAAAGAGAGATTAGGAGAGAAATGGAGAGAGAGATTAAGAGAGAAAGTGAGAGATATTGAGAGAGAAAGAGATGGGAGAGAGAGCAATGAAGAGAGAGAGGGATTCAGAGAGAGGAAAAAGTGGGTAAACTTTCAGTTTGGTCCATGCTTCTCAGCTCTGGGTTCGTTAACAAGACGAACCTCCGGCCGGGTTCATAATGACCCAGCCCTTGTATAATGACTCTGAGGTGCCAAGTGGGCAACCAGGGTGGCGGTTACACCATCCACAACACATTTCCTTTTCCAGTCCGTCAGGGGACTCAAGAGGAGAAGTGCTAATGCTTTTTAACAAAGCAAATTGGAATGTATACTATAGCCAGGGTCTTATTTCAGTCAGGGTTTCTTGTGTGTGGAATAAGTAGATATTTTCTTCAAATCATTAAGCCTCATCAGTCCTTATGCTTCATATCATATGTTTGTTCAAATAGCTGGCATGTGAGTTTGGTATGCAACAGTTGCAATTCTGAATCGATCAAAGGGTTTTGAAATTTCATAACAGATATTGGGAGTATTATAGTCGTCAACCCTAAGGCCTCTCTTTGTTTTGTGAAAATGAGGCCCACAGTGGAAGGATCCTCTCTGCTTGAAACAATAGTCAATATAATCTATTAGAATAGAATAGAATCAATAGAATCTATTAGAATAAAGTGGAATCAATTAATTCGATAGAATCAATAGAATCTATTACAGTTCAGGTAACAGTACTGGACTTGCTCCTAACTTCAACTCCTGTCTGTACCATATGTACCTCCATCCCTGTCTACACGGTGCTTGCAGCCCTCACACTCATCTCACTCTGAGGACAAATTACATCTTTCAGGATGAGATGTTCTGCCTCTAGTCTCTCCAGGAACTGGAGTGTTGCCTGTGAGGGTCGTTGGGTTTGAATTTCGGCGATGCGCCTGAGTGCGCGTGGGGAGGTTGTGATTGGGGTGTGGGGGTGTGTGTGTGGAGGGGGGAGGGGGGGGGGGTGCTCTCACGGCTGCCTTGATCACTGGAATGTGTTATCCATGGGGGTCTACGTTAGCAGGGGCCAGGAAATACGCATGGTGCTGAAATGTTGTTTTCTCTGCCTGCCTGGGCCCTTGGAGACAGTCACCCCTATTGGGGTGGATAGAGGAATCTGTGTCGGCTGATGGGTGTTGAGGAGCTATAGGTACAGGTAGAGCTGGCCTTGGCTGCAGGCACACCTGTCTGCTGGTGTACAGGTGAGCCTGCTGGATGCCCCCCTCCCTCAGCCCGCTCACCTGCATGCTATGCCTGATCCCCGACTCAGGTACAGCCTTAGCCCAGGCTGGTTCAACTGTAACACAGGCTGCCAACAACTGGATGGAGCTCAGCTCATGCCCAATGAACCCAGCAAAGACAGTTGTCATTTACTGTTGTAATCCATGGTGTATGTTAGATCAAACCTCCATTGAACTGGTGAGGGGCTATGTACTGTACTGCACTGTATATACAGTGGGGAAAAAAAGTATTTAGTCAGCCACCAATTGTACCACCAAGTTCTCCCACTGCAGGATTTGAGTCCCTGGCGGCGTAGTGTGTTACTGATGGTAGGCTTTGTTACTTTGGTCCCAGCTCTCTGCAGGTCATTCACTAGGTCCCCCCGTGTGGTTCTGGAATTTTTGCTCACCGTTCTTGTGATCATTTTGACCCCACGGGCTGAGATCTTGCGTGGGGCCCTAGATCGAGGGAGATTATCAGTGGTCTTGTATGTCTTCCATTTCCTAATAATTGCTCCCACAGTTGATTTCTTAAAACCAAGCTGCTTACCTATTGCAGATTCAGTCTTCCCAGCCTGGTGCAGGTCTACAATTTTGTTTCTGGTGTCCTTTGACAGCTCTTTGGTCTTGGCCATAGTGGAGTTTGGAGTGTGACTGTTTGAGGTTGTGGACAGGTGTCTTTTATACGGATAACAAGTTCAAACAGGTGCCATTAATACAGGTAACGAGTGGAGGACAGAGGAGCCTCTTAAAGAAGAAGTTACAGGTCTGTGAGAGCCAGAAATCTTGCTTGTTTGTAGGTGACCAAATACTTATTTTCCACCATAATTTACAAATAAATTCATAAAAAATCCTACAATGTGATTTTCTGGAGAAAAAAAATCTCAATTTGTCTGTCATAGTTGTGTCACGATCGTCTGAGGAAGCGGACCAATACGCAGCGCGTTGAGCGAACATGCTTGACTTTATTCACATAAAGTACCAAAACAAAAGACGAATCGTGAAGTCCAACGTAACAATGACTAACAAGGAACAAAAACCCACAATACCCACAGGAAAACATACAGAATAAATATGGCTCCCAATCAGAGATAACGAGCCGACAGCTGACACTCGTTACCTCCGATTGGGAGTCATCGACCAACCTAGAAATACAACCACCAGAAATGCAAACCTAGAAATAACCCAAATGCCCAACATAACCAAACCAAAACCCAACAAAACAAAATACACCCTGGCTCAAATACAAAAGTCCCAGAGCCAGAGTGTCACAGTACCCCCCCCCTAAAGGTGCGCACTCCGGGCGCACCAGCATACAGTCTAGGGGAGGGTCTGGGTGGGCGTCTGTCCACGGTGGCGGTTCTGGCCCTGGTCGTGGTCCCCACCCCACCTTAGTCACTATCCGCCTCCGTAGCCTCCTCCACATGACCACCCCCCAACTAAACCCCACTGGATTAAGGGGCGGCACCGGACTAACGGGCAGCACCGGACTAAGGGGCAGCACCGGACTAAGGGGCAGCACCAGGATAAGGGGCAGCACCGGGCTAAGGGACAGCACCGGACTCACTGGCGGATCCTGGCTGGCTGGCTCTGGCGGGTCCTGGCTGGACGGCTCTGGCGGATCCTGGCTGGACGGCTCATGGCTGGCTGAAGGATCTGGCTGCTCATGGCTGGCTGACGGATCTGGCTGCCCATGGCTGGCTGACGGATCTGGCTGCTCATGGCTGGCCGACGGATCTGGCTGCTCATGGCTGGCCGACGGATCTGGCTGCTCATGGCTGGCTGACGGATCTGGCTGCTCATGGCTGGCCGACGGATCTGGCTGCTCATGGCTGGCCGACGGATCTGGCTGCTCATGGCTGGCTGACGGATCTGGCTGCTCATGGCCGGCTGACGGATCTGGCTGCTCATGGCTGGCGGAAGGCTCTGACCGATCCTGTCTGGAGGAAGGCTCTGGCTGATCCTGTCTGGCGGAAGGCTCTGGCTGATCCTGTCTGGAGGAAGGCTCTAGCGGCTCCGGTCTGGCGGACGGCTCCGGCTCATGGCAGACGGGCGGCTTAAGCGCCTTTGGGCAGACGGGCAGTTCAGGCCCCGTTGGGCAGACGGCAGACTCTGGCCGTCTGAGGCGCACCGTAGGCCTGGTGTGTGGTGCCGGAACTGGAGGTACCGGGCTGAGGACACGCATCTCAGGGCTAGTGCGGGGAGAAGCAACAGGGTATGCTGGACCCTGGGGACGCACATAAGGGCTAGTGCGGAGAGCCGGAACAGGGCATGCTGGACCCTGGGGACTCTCATAACGCCTAGTGCGGAGAGCAGCAACAGGACGCACAGGACTCGGGGGACACACAGGAGACTTGGTGCGTGGTGTAGGCACTGGTGGGAAAAGGCTGGAGACACGCACCATACAGCTAGTGCGTGGAGGAGACACAGGGCTCTGCAGACTTACAGGAAGCCTAGTGCGTGGTGTAGGCACTGGTGGTACTGGGCTGGAGCGGGGAGGTGGCGCCGGAAATACCGGACCGTGCAGGCTTACTGGCCCCCTTGAGCACTGAGCCTGCCCAACCTTACCCGGGTTGGTGCTCCCCGTCGCCCGACCAGTACGGGGAGGTGGAATAACCCGCACCGGCCTATGAGGGCGAACCGGGAA